TCTTCTTCTTCAGCTTGGTGCTCATAACATCCTTTAGACTCGAAAAGCTCTTCGAATCCCCGCCACCCGCCGCCTTCTTCTCCGCTTGCTCCCTATTTAAGGGTGTTTTTGTAATTTAATAAAAATATATTTTATTTTTTAATTTAATATTAAATGGTAAGGTCAAATTTGTCATTTCACACCCCAATTAAAGTGTTGGATATGGATATTGGGGTAATGTGAACACTTTTTAAAAGTATAGGGGTTTTTAGAAATAGGTTGGGGTTTTATGATCAAAAAATGAAAGTAGTGGGGGATTTTACTAAATTTGCCCTATATTTAATTAAATATGCAAAATAAAGCAATAAATTAATAAATAATAAATAAAGAACCTGTACCAAGGCTAGTATTGAATACTATGTCCTTAAGACAAATTCGTCCCGCTATGGTGCTAACGGACTCAGTGAAGCCTATCTCGCGCCTTTTCGGATTGGGTGTGTCTTTTTGTCACTGGACACAACCATTTATATGTGTCTCTTCATCATTGGACATAACCATTTATATGTGTCTCTTCACACTGGACACATCCACTCTAATTGGTTGCAATGGTTCACATGGTGCTTATTCACCAATAAACACATTCACTCCAATAGGTTGTAATGGTTCACATGAATAGTTATGTCTGTTGGTTTTGAGTTACATCTTTTCATCCCATAACCAACCAGTAATTGCACCTGTTCAGTCCAAGGCATCTATTGATGACTAATCAAACAATTTTCATTCACAATTTATAAAATTTTTTTCATTGAATACAGTTGTTGGTCTTTGCCTTGAATTACACGCATTGACTTTATAAAATTTAAACCTTGTGAAAAACAAATTACATGATACAAGTGGGAAAAAAAAAAAAAAAAATTGAAAGAAAAAAAAAAAATGTCTAAGAAAATTAAATGAATCTACGAGATAACTTTAGAAATAAAAAAAAATTGGGGGGGCATTATGTAGAAAATTTCCTAAATATATAGAAATACAAATAAATTTGCCTTATATTATATAGAAATTTTCCTAAATATATAGAAATATATATAAGGGCTAAAATCTAAAAAAACCCCTCTTGTTAATCGAAACTATCTACTAACCCTCTCGAGTATTAAAAACACCCCTGATATAACAGAAACTATCAAATTGCCCCAATTCCGTCACAGAACCGTTAAGTTACTGTGAAATGACAAGAATACCTTTAATATTATTTTAAAATGAAAATGTGAATTTTGAATTGGCAAATATGCCCCCGTATGAAACGATGTAGTATTGTGTTGTTTTTACCTCTTTGTAAAACGACGTCGTGTGGGGGTTGGGTTGTATGCCCTAAATCAATTTTTATGCCTTAAATCAATTTTTATGCCTCCATCTATGTTCTGTGTTTGTGTGTGAGCCGAGTGTTGAAGAAAACAAGTGCGAAGTCTTGATGAAAGAGATTGTTTATGAAAACGAGTGTTTGAGTGCTGATGAAATCCTCAGCCACCGCTAAACTTTTCATCCCCTCCAGGCACCGTCTTTGTCCACCTTTGAGACCCAACTGGACCTCATTCGTTTTGTCGGAACCAGACCCCTTTTCGACTTAGAGTCCTTCACTTTCCAACTCCTAATAACAACACTGTCCAGATTGCCCTCTCTGTCTTCGTCGTCTAGAGGGTTTTCGCTTAAATTCATTAATGCTCGTGCCTTCGAAGCCTTCTATATATTTATTTTCTTGCATTTTCTTAGCAACCAAATTGGGATTATTTCAATTTTATATGTGCCCTTGAGTTGAAGAACTGAAATGATCAGTGCACTAGATAATATGTATGTAGATTATCATATAATTTAAACTGCAAGAGGCAAAAATTAAAGTAAAATAAAGGGAAAAACTGGTGAAAGCAGATAAAATTTATGATTTTTTACTTTTTGATACCAATTTCGTGAAATACACACACATATATGCTCACTGTTATATATATATATGTTTAACGGTAAGGACAAGGAAAGGCCTTTTTGGTACTCTTTTTATTCTCGTTCAGATAGAGAGAGTGAGAAAAGTGAAGAGATGAAATGAAGAAGAGAGATAATCGAAGGTTTAAAAAGAGAAAGACCCAAGTAACCTAATAATTTTGAGATTCTCTAATTCGAATGATATATATATATATATATCATTCGAATTAGAGAATCTCGAAAAGCCACAAGGAAGCAGTTTGCTTTCAAATTTAGGAAGATAAGTACCAATCCAAGAAAAAAAACTGTAACTAGATAAGGGTCCAACTCTCGCCTGCGATCTCTGGCGAATTCACCTCGTAACAGTCCATTGGCGCTTTATTAATGTTCCCACTTCGAGCTATATTAACAAACCTAGTTGGGCGAGCTTTATTAACGGAGAGTTCCATATAAGTTCAACAAGTGACCATTAATTCCGATGAAACCCAAGCTGCATTTAAGTTCTATTTCAGTCTGTCGAAGCCCAAAGAACAACATCTTAGTCCAGCGAGCACACGTGTACCCTTAAGAACAACACCTTAAGGGTTAGATAACAAACCTTAAGGGTTTTTTTCGTCATTTCCATACAATAAGGGTACTTCCGTCATTATATTGGGGAATCTGGTGTACGTGACGCTCACGTGATAAGAAGACGTTAGTTTTAGACGGTCAACCAACAGGGAGGGGGTCATATGATATATTTTAAATTACGTTGAGGGATTTTATGATAGTTTCCGTATTGGAAGGGGTTAGTAGATAGTTTTTGGAAACAAGAGGGGGTTTTTAAAATTTAGCCCTATGTATAAATTTGACCATACATGTAAGCTCACAGTAGTTCGATGGGATCCCAAACTCACTCATGTCCTATCTGCCACGTGTGCGTTGCACTACTCAGCAAATAGACAAAGCAAAAGACCACCAAAATAAAAACGTCAACACCCTCTTTTTATGTATTGCCTCTTGAGTTGTCCTTGTTCATCAACACCCTCTTTTATGGCATTTACATTCCTATGCATCACCCTCCTATATTAGGTATACGTATAAATGAGCCAGCTTCACGTGGAAATTGTCATCAAATTTATAACTTGTACACTATTATATCACGGATCACCTACTCCAGAGAAATTTCATACAGTTGGCTATTTTTTCTTCTTTTTTTCCTTTTAAAAATACCCATTTTTCCATATAATAAAATTATTAACAAGAATAAAAATGAAATTCAATTTTAGGTAAGTATCTGATAGTGACCCAACAGCTTCAAGTCTGACCAATTCTTAATACCAATTTTATGAATCCTTTATATTTCAGTTCACATACTTGGGGTAGTGTAGTACAAACCTGATTGTGAAACCAAACCATTTGAAGTATTAAATTTAAACCTTTTAGCATATCAAGTGATGCCACGTGTCAACAAAATTAACGTTAACCTCTCCGCTCCGACACTAAACTAATCCACTTTCAAAAAAATTCTACCGCAAACTATGCCCCCTATTTTCTTAACCGCTCCACCTTATTAATTTACCTCATAAATCAAAGATCATATGCACTCAAAACCAATATTATATATATATTACACACACACACACACTCAAGTATGTACATGCTTATATCAATTCTCTGCTATCCATTTACAATTCCATATATATCCACGCTCAACCATTTGTAATTTTAATATACTATCAATGGGGAGAGTGAAAGAGGAATCAGAGCTCAAGTCCAAGCTAGTGACAGAAATTTGTAACATTTCTCGCAGCGCTACTGCTCGTGCTAAATGTCCTCGTTGCAGCGCGGTTAAATCGCCTTTTGTGGACTGGTATCTTCTTCTTAGAGTACGTTTTTCTGGAAATCCTTGATGACAATTTTAACCCATTTCTTGGGGTTATAATTTGAGTTTTTGAATTTATATATATATTTGGGTATCGACAGGTCGATCAGAATGCAGAGATAGATGTTATCCGGAAGAAGTATCATAAGCTCGGTATGTTTTAACGATGAACACGTATTTGCATTCTTCTATATTTCATGTTTCGTGATACATCCTTTTTGTGTGCAGCTTTGCAACTTCATCCAGATAAGAATAAGCACCCCAAAGCTGAAATTGCCTTCAAGCTTGTTTCTGAGGTAACTCTTTAACATGGGGATAAAATGTGTATAAGCACCGTAGAAATCATAGTTTTCCAATCAAAATTATGAATTTACCTTTTACTTGATGTTGTTCATGCCTATGCATTACAATTTCGCAAGTGAAGATTGATGACAACCTAAATTTTCACATTATTTTGCACACAATATGAAACTCATTCCATGCTTTTCAAGTCGAGGATTTACTATTGCACCAAGTAATGATCAGAATCCGCGCTCAATACATGATGTTTGTGGCAGGCATATGTGTGTCTTTCCGACAATGCAAAGCGAAAGGATTTTGATTTGGAGAGACGGAACAGCTTCTGCAATGACTTCAACAGAGTCCCATGTACAACCTGCAGTTCTAATTATGAAGACGACTTTGAAGTGGAAAGACTGAGGTCTAGTAAAATCATACAAGGTCTGAAAGAAATGAGAACGAGATTTAAAGAAGAGGCAGAGGTGATAGAGAGTTGTTTGAGAGCTAACAAAGCAACCAGAAAAGAATACCCAGTTTTCAATCCATCAAGAAAAGAATTCCAAGTTCCCAATCCATCAAGAAAAGAATTCCCAATCTTCAATCCATCAAGAACAGAGTTCCCAGTTTTCAATCCATCCAACTATCCATTCCATGGCTACCCTCATCACAAGAGATGCACTCACGAAAAACCCGAGCACTTCTGGTTCTCAAAGAATAGAAACATGCTGAATTAAATGCAGTAAAGAGGGAACCCAGAATAGTCAATTTTTGCGACTAAGCAGATATTGTGCCACATGAATAACATGAGGCGCCTGTCAAATTGTCTTTCTTTTGCATTATTTTCTACTAGTGTTTTCGGAGCACCACTAGCTCATTTTATAGTCATGCATTTGGATGCCACACAAACTTTAGACTAAATGGAAGAAACAGTAAATATATGTTTCTGTAAGTATGCATCGACAATCAGTAACCCTTCAATTCGTATTACTCCTACACAATTTTGTAACTCAAAATTGGATTCAACCATTCTGAAAACACTCGATACAAAACTTCACTTCTGCCACCAACCCCGTCAGAGTGCTTTTTAGTAATTCACCATTTAAACAACATTTGTAGTAAGATAGAGGCGAATCAGCCTGTGACCTAACAGAAGCCATGCTAACTTAGAAAAAAAGTTTCTTGATCATCTGCCTTGGGTGACTTAACCTTCTTTTGCCAACTGCTTTGCCTTGGGTAATTTCAGTATACCACCATCGATCAAAGGCTGCAACTCTTCTTCTGTCATTTTGCGTACAGTAGAGTCGGTGGATTCCAAGAATGCGCAAACTATCTTAGCACTGCAACCACAAATATAGACCCCATAACAAATTATCTCCAGTTTTATGTTTGGATAAAATGCACTGCAACTTAGAAAGTACTAAGCCAAAGTAGTCTAACCTGTGACCTTGGGCCCACATTCTACACTTCCCTTTTAAAGCTTTTTTCCACAGAATAGAAGCAAAAGAAGGGCAATCTAAAATCAATTTTCTAATGGTCCTGCTAGAATGGAAATTTTCAAGGAGATGCTCCTCTTCTGGTATCTCTGATCTAGGTTGTGCCACAAGAGATGCAATATCTTCATGCAATGTGTCCAACTTTTCACGCAAAGCTGCATGGAGAATGCCTCCATTACCCCCAGTTGCAACCTGCATGTATTACCAGGATCAGAAGGAGGATGGTGATCTAGTGAATGTCTCAAGAAAGACCAGAAAATTGTTGAAGAAATGCAAAAAATGAATCGAAGACTAATTAGAGAATATTAGCGAGCTTTAATAAATAAGCACGAATTATCCAGGAGAAACCCACAAACATTTTAGCACATAAAAAACATAAGGTAATAAGGGAGAAGTGAACTTGAATCACTGAAAAATAAAGAAGAAGAGTCAATTATGATTGTACATTTTAAAGAAGAAAAAGAAATTCACCAGTTCTGTTAGGCATTTCAAACTACTGTATTTTCATGTATTTTATATTCCTTTATAGACTTTCAAACATTGAAGAGTTGGTGGGATAGTCTAAATGGGCAATTTTGCACCAGCCAAACCAGATCCACCACCCACTTTATCCATGGAGGGAGATAATAAAAAACAACCATAGATTTTATCAACAGTCAACAGTGTCCATGTTAGTTCCACAAGATTGGACAAAGGTACAACTTTGTCATACATAATGGTATAGGTGCCAAATTTTTTTGTCTGAACAATCAGATTTGACAATGCAAAGATTATGTCCTGCACAAATTACTGAATCCAGTTTTTAGTAGGTGTAATGCACCGACTTGCACCAGTCTAAGTGGATTTTTTGCCAACCACTACAGAAACAAATGTATACAAGCATAATTTCCGGGTAAAAAAATATATATACAAGCATCCTTTAAAACGGATTCTAGCAAATCTTTGCAATTTTGTGCGTTATACTTTTATATGTATGGGAATAGAATGAACTAAACTACATAAATAATGCATGAATTCCAGAAATATTCATCACCATCAAAGTAGTCCTACTTTTGGAATGGCCTTTATAAACACCAATTATTATCATCACAGCAATTAGACAGCTACTTTATATAGTAGCAGATAATAACCACATACAAAATCCAAAGTTATGTTTGATATCGATACGAGCTGAGCTTGAGCAAAAGTTTGACTGATCAAGATGACTCAAACAGCCAAATACCCAGCTCAATCTCGATTGCAGCTCTACCCAAACACATTTTCAAAATATAAATTTGTAGATTTCAAAAAGTAATTAAACTTCAATTCAATAAAACACATTGGTAATAAACAAGATATATACCTCATATATAACCTCTTTGCCAAAGTTTGATTTAAGCAGTGTTTCTGCAGTCTGTTTACACGTGTCAATGAGTCTCTGCAAGAATGACCAAAATTTTTAAATAAAGTAACTTTGCTAGACATAACAGCAAGCAAGTTAACATCCCATTTTTCAATACAAGTAGTCAAATCGAATTATAAACAAAGCAGGTCAAAGGCTTAGCCCAAGTGGTACCTTTTCCTCCCATTTGGAAGGTCAAAGGCTGAAGTCCATAACGATCCATGAGAGGTGCATGAGTGACTTGCCTACTAAAAGAGTAAATAAATAAATTAACATTGAAGCAACAAACCTCAGCAAACCCACTGTTGATCAACAATTCTTGTCTTCGTACGAGAGGATCTTTTTTCCCACCCTCAATTATATGTCCACTCTCACCGGGGCCTGTATTTCTGTTGGCCTTATCTGCAGCCTCCTCTGTATCACTCTTGTCGTCCCCCTCACCAGCTTCAGTCACCTCTGAAGATATTATTTGCTTCCCCAAACTGGAATCTACCTCGTCATCCTGATAATGATGAGAAAAATCAATTAGTTTTGCTGCATCTGCATCACTTGTATGAGGTACTTACAGGTTTCTAGAGAGAAGTTAAAAGCAAAGCAAAACAGATGTGGAATTGCCTTGTTGCAGAGAGAAGGAACTGATAAATTCAGAGAAGCAAGATCTTCAGGAGTAAAATAGCGGGTACAATTGGGATGAAGTAGCTGCAATAATGGACGCCTTCCATTCTGAAATTAACAAATGAAGGAAACCCAATCAGAAATATATTCATTTAATAAAGAAGGAAAAAAAAGAAAGAAAAAGAAATAGGCTGAAAAAAAAAAGAAAGAAAAAGAAATAGGCTGAAAAAAAAAAAAAAAAAAAAAAAAAAAGGCATAAAAAAGGTCCACCATATGGTAACTTTAAACGGGCATGAGTTCCGAGAGACCTATCTAAGAGCTAGTCTAGAATAAAAAGCATGAGCTAAACATATAAACCTAGTCAGTTGATCATTCAACTACTCGAAGAACAAAGAGCAGATTCTCTAGAATGTCCAGTGAGTTTGACAGGGAGACATTTCAGTAATTGCATCAGTAAATTAGAGTAGAAGTGAACGAGGAGCAAAGCCTAACGTGTGCTGTGTGTGAAAACAGAACTCAGTAGATCATCCTTACCTCCTTTTAGTTGATATTGAACTTTCATTAAATGAAACTGAAATTGGGGGGCAAAAAGAAAAGACACAGGAAGAGTATTAACCTTATCCATGACAAGCTCCTGTAGAATTTCTTGAAGCTCACGAATGACAATCTGTGAATAACAGAATTTTATTGAGATGTCCCCTTAAATAGTAACATTCCCTTAATAGTGCAGAACAGCTATTTATGATAAAGTAGAAGGAACCAACCTTTATTATAAGTTTTGTGTCATCAACAACTGAGAGAATGCAGACGAGCACCTGGAAAGTAAGTAGTATCAAATGAAGACAAAAAAAATCAAAGAAAAGATTCCCAAAAAAAAACACATAAAAGGAAATTAACAAATGATCTCATAAGAATTTTGTTGGTTGGAGTAAATCAAATCCCAGCAATATTTGGAAGTATAAACCTTCTAATTATGGTGTTCTATGGTGTGGAAACTGTAAAGTATGCTAAATTAGGCACTTCTCTGATTAAAGATACCAGGGTGTATACAGACGGCAGGGAAGAATCTATCTACAAAAAAGATAACTTTACAGGTCCATCTTTAATACGGTTTTCTATTCTTTTCCCCGTAAGGCTGCCTTTTATTAATGAGACATTGAAAACGGCTCCTGTATTAAGACACTTACAACAATAGATGAGTGCACGTGTTTGTGGTCTTCTTAATATGTTTTAATATAATTTTTTGCAAAGTATTATGTTTAAATATATATTGATCTTGTTCCAGTGAGTGCATTATTTTGGTAAAACCTTGGATTTTAGAGGCAGCATAAAGCCAAACCTCGTCCATACATGGGCAAACCCCGTCCCTCCCGCATCCAGGAAAAAATAAATAAATCCCAAAAAACTGTGCAGAAAAAAATCACCACAATCAACAGGCCCAAAATAGGTAATGTAATTATATTCATATTGCTCGAGTATGTGGGTATATACTAAAAAAACATGATAAGGACGAACAGAGCATGAATAATATATATATTTTTTAAGGTCAACGTCTTTGGAAGTACCAAATAGGTGGTGTTGGGACACAGTTGGAGACAGCTACAGTATTAGAGTATATAATAATTCAATTAATAATAATAATAAAAAAAAGAAGTGTCCCGTATATCATAAAAAATTTGCTTAAAACATCCTAGCGCCTTAAAGCACAACAAAATTGATAAATATAGACAACAATTCTGCAATTCTCTGTGGTTTGAGAAGAACTGACTTCCTCTATATCTCGTGGGTTGTTGCTTTACTGGCCATACACTCATCTCATGCTATGCAAACAATAATAATAGCATACAATATTTACTTGATGACTTCTCAAAATTTGAAATCCTTCAGAAAAAAAACATTGCAGAATCTAACAAAATATGACTAGCTTTATTACCTTAGTGTAAGAAAAGAAAAATCTTAATAAAATAACCATAACAAATTTGCACTTGAACCCTACAATAACACTAACAGGAATGAATGTGGGCACCTTTAGGACTGAATACAATTATATATGCACGTGGTCAAGATGCTCAACATTTCCTAATAAACTTCCAACTAGAGCTTCTTACAAGTTCAAAACTAAACTTCATCAAGTCTATGAAATAACTCACATGTATACTTCGCTAAGCATATAATCAAATATCATAAGTGATGAGGTCTATCACTGCAATATCTGTAAAGAGTTTAATATAGTTAATATAACAAGTCTATAAATAAATTGTGCATGGTAATATTTGGATTTCATAAAACTATAACATTTTGATTATATTAGATTTTCCGGAAACAATTCAGTTCATAGCAATGACTAAATTAATCTATTAATAGCTCCATTTTCACAGACAGATTTATGCTTGCAATGTTGTGAAATGAAACCAATTTTAATCAACTGGGGAATCAGATTGCATCCTCAAAGATAATAATGCTGAAGTTATTGCTTCAAAATTTTCAATCAAAATCACAAGAGCATGTATAATGGACTGCATATGACTACGAAGCACAAAACAATCAAAAGCAATACAAGGAAAGATTAACTGATGGACAGCATGTTCTGTGAAAGATAAATACTAAGTAGCTGCAATAAGAAATAGTTGGGATCGGAACAGATATATTCTGTATAACATAGGAATTATAAGTCAAAAGAAAGGTTGAAAATGATCATATTCACAAAGTGATCCTTACCATACTCCCATAAGGATCCTGAGCTATTTTGCCTATGTGGCCTTTCATTCCTTTGATGATTTTCTTTCGTTCCTAAAATTAAAAATGTCAAAGATCAACTCAGTAATCAATAAAAAACAAAACTCAACAAATAAATGGTCAAATTGGAATGAAAATTCTTTCTTTCTTAAGATAACAATCTACGGCTAATTGTGGCAAACCTTGGCACTTCCATGTTTGACACAAAGCATCCCAATCCTGGATCCATCCCTGGTACCAATCATCCGAACAAGGAGGGGTCCTGACAACTGCTGTATTATATCTGCAGCAGAGGACTTTTACCAAATTTGAATTAGATAAAAGGAGGAGGAAAATTTGAGTAAAAGTCAGCCCAATAGTCAAGAAATGCGTCTTTAAATCTATGCTTTAGATAATAGAGGAAAACGTGAGGAAAAGCCACCCCAGTAGTCAAGAAATGCTCTTTCAAAGCTACCTTTAGAAATTAGTCTTGTCATATAAATAGCTTTGTAGTACCTGATCAGCAATGCTAAAGTATTCCATCAACGCCCTGTGTATGATAGAGTGGTCCACTATTCCTTTCTCCAAAATTGGTTGCAATACAGATCCCATGTGTCGTATGACTGAAGACTTTTGCAGGCTTAGCTTAGAAATTATATCTACTAACCTGTCAACAACACTAATGAGTATAACGATAAATGAAAGCAGCAGAATTCCAACGTCATCCTGATATTCATGTACATATATCACATTGCATGAGATCTCAAATGCATGATAAGCCAGTGTAGTAGGAGAATTAGAAACAAAATGAGGAACTCCCGAAATTCCCACACTTCCACCACATTGCATGACAGGTTGGGAATTCTCACAAAGATATAGGGGGCAAAGATACCAACCCCAACCAAACACTCAAAACCATAGGTTGTCACAACATTTGCATCAACTAAAGACTACTAATTACATCTAATCCAAAGTTAAGAATGTAGTTTTTGAGAAAATATTTCAACCTTGAGGAGAAAGGATAGTGCAAAATATTCCTTGCAAGAAAAATATCTTGCAGTTCTATACAAATATAGAGAAAATACTATGTAATAAAAGGCACTAAGATAAAAGCAACCAATAACCCCTCCAGTGAGTAATTCATAGACTTAACCCTTTACCTGCTCTCTTTCATTGAGACAAGATCTTTAAACAACTGAAGCTCGGTCGAATATAATTCCATCAGAATAGCACGTTTTTGAGTTGCATTACCCAGCTGATATACATGTTCAACAACTGCAACAAACCAAACAGTATCAAGCCAGGTAATTTAAAATGCAAATGTCAAGAGAAGACAGATCTCCGAGAATAAAACGGTTGAGTGTCAGATCATACACACTCTGTCAATAACCGTGTAATAAAACTTCATTACTATAATTCTACCCTCTCAAATTCCCCACTCCCCAATAGCCTCCACTGTAGCCAAAAACTAATAAAATTTTAGAAATCCAAACTTCACCAAATTGAGTTTGATTTTATTTGCCTATTCATTATGAACCTAAAAAATAAAAAGAGGGTTAAGAAACTCTGCTGCAAGTCAGGTGATTTGCAAAAGCAAATCAGTACAAGATGTCAACAAATTTATTACTAAGATCAAAATACTTTTAACATACCAACAGAGCCAACCATATGCCGAAGAAGTGAAGCAACATGCCCATGGAGGGAGGAAATAAATTCTGCCACCTGTTTTTTTGAAGCTGCAAACAGTACAAAAAGTAATTTAAATAGCAACAAGTTTACAGTTCCTATGTCATACAAAAACACAATTGAACTAGTCTCTCGAATAACATACTTCATTGATTTTATTAGTTGATTCAAGTCAATTGACCATACCGTTATCTAAAATTTTCTTCACCAGATAGACTGCATAACTATTACGAGCAAGGGTGAGAAGATGTGGCCGAAGCTCCTCAAATACAGTGTCCCTTTCAGCTTGTGAGCAGTACTTTATACAAGTCTAAGGTTGAAGAAACAAAGTTACAACAGGTGTTACTGCATACAACAGAAAACTCAGGACAACATCAAGAAATAATAACTAGAAATCACCTGCAGAACACGAGAAGAGACATGTGAGCCTGCAATATCAGGAATCTTCCCCTTCATCTTCTCTAGGGCTACAGTCACCATCCTTAGGGTAAATAGAAAAGGATTTGTATTGCTTAGTTTTTAACAGATACAAAAGAAGAAACCTAAACATAGCATTTGTAACAAAATATATACTTGGATCTATCTTCTTTGGAAATATTACGGCGCCTCATCTTTTCCCACATTGACGCAAGTTCCTAGTGAGGACAAGAAAATGTAAATCAGAAAACAGAGACCACAACTCACTAAGCAGGGTTTAAACTGTTCTTGATCAACAACTGGTGTTCCTCAAAATACTGTAAAACAAATACCCAAGCTTGAAATGCTTTAGAGGGTCACAACATAAAGCTGGGCATGGCCCTCCAAAAAGAATCAGGCATTAGGTTCACACCTCATGCTTCCTTAGTTAAAATTAGTACTTAAAATGACATGGCAAATCAAGAAAGGAATATATGCATATAAAATGCTTTTGCACGCGTGCAGCTGTGCAGACAACCATGACTTGGAAGACATAAGTGGAAGGGAGCAAAATTGTGCTACAATAAAGTATTTGTTTTGGAATGCATATTATGCAACTAATATTTAAAATAAAAAATAAAAAATAACATGAGAGAGAGCTAAGTGGCGTGACAGTGGGCCAATAAAACACCACATAGATTTGTGCCTTTAAAACACCCCATAAATACTAAAAAGATTTGCTTAATCAAATGAAAAACAAAATCAGAAATAGAGGTGTATTGATGATTTGTATCATTGTAATCTTGACAACAGCAAGCCTTGCTGTATATTTCCAGGGAATTATTTAGGGAAGCGAGTGCCTATCAATTTGAAAGGTTTAATTATATCCAGAATACCCATTTTCAATATTACAAGTACAATAGCTATGATTTATTTATTTATTTTCCACCGTATTTAGGATGCATTTCTCTGTAACACCACAAATGAATATTTCAACAAATTTAGTAAATATAAGACTAAGACGAATGCAATACTTGTTCAAGAGTGTAATGTGGCTTCCTCTTCTTCTTCCTAGCCTCCACTAGCTCCTGCATATACAACTCAAATTTCAGTGACCTTGATCCATAAAATCACATTAAATTATATCACAAATTCAATTACAATTTATATCAAAATATAACAGAAGATACAATATAATCAACATAAATTTTCCATATATCGACTTTGACAAAGAGATAAAGAACCAAACTGCCCCAATTGATAATGCTCATCGAAGCAGGTAAAAAAAGCTCCTGAATTGACAAACTCTAATACAGTGTTCCCAAAATCAAATTCCTACCACATTCTACCTCAGTCATTATCGAAGTAAATTCTATACGTATTTATATTACAAAAATGAAGAAAAGGTTAGACCTTTGCTTGTAAACGACGTTCTCGTTTCGATTTCGGGGCCTCCTCCTTGGGTTTCTCTATCGGTGATTTAAATTTATGGTGTTGTGTGGATGATTTGAAAGGTTTCTTCAAACCCTTGTTTGGAGGATTCGAAGGAAATTTCTTCTTCTGCGGATTCGATTTCTCTCCGTCTCCTTTACTGTCTGAAATTCGTTTCCTCTTCTTCGGTTCGTCCTTCGCCGCCATTGATGCTTAGCTCAAGCTTTTCGCTTCTCTTCAGAGTCTCGACTGTGTCGTTGAATCGTTGTTTATCTGTAGAGGTTTTGGTGAGGGTTTTGTAGGTTAAGCTTTCGTTTTCTGAGAGTTCCCGTGGGCCGTTTTGGGCCCAACCATGTGACAAGAACGTTTGGACTGGGTTGACAGGATAGTCAGGCTGACCTTGGCTTGATTATTGGGCTTTTAGTCGGAGTGACCATGGGTAGAGTATTGGGCTCTTATTTCGATCTAATGAATGAGTAATGATATTAATGTTATATTTGATTGGAGGGAAGGATTAAGGTGGAATGGATAATATTATTTTCATATTTGGTTGGAGGGAGCGGAAGAGTGGGAGGGAGGAAGCAAGGAGGTATGCTCCATCTCTCATTTTTTCTATCCGCCCAATTTTGGGGGGATTTGCTCTATTTTGGTAGAAAATAAAAAATTTAAATAGAAGGGAGAGAATTATGGATGGATGAGATAGAAGGAAATAGAAAGTTTTAATTGTTTTTATCATTATATCCAAAAAAAAAATATTTATAATATTGTAATTTATAGAGGATGATACTGTAATTTAAAACTTCTATAATTTATGATATTATTTAAATTTAAAACTTCTATAATAACCCACTTGTCTTACTTCATTTCTTTCTAGTGGATGAAAATTAATATTGAAGTTTGTTCTTTTCTTCCTATTTTATTTCTCTCCACACCTCTTTCTTCCTTTTTATTGAACACAGTAGAAGAGAGGAGAGAGAAAATTAATAACCACCTACAAATATCAATTTCCAAATTTAATCTTTTCAAAAACTTTGAAATAGATATCTACCTAAAAATCAGTTATGTTATTCATTCCATTCAACCAAATAAAAAAAATGAGAGTGACATTTTCCCTTCATTTTTCCATCTCCAATCAAAGTGCAAAGGACTGTATATTTTAATGATAGATTGACACCTTCTAAAATAAATGGCCGAAAATTCAAGTGATACATTCAGGGTGAGTGCATTTTTTGGGAATAATAATTTGGTCCTTCGTTGTAAAAGGTCCACCATTGGTCCAATTTAATGGATCAAGATCCTCCCTTGTTTTTTATTTTTTCGTATCTGTAGTTTGACATGGATTGATGGTTCAAAGCAATCCACAACAACCGAGTCTTTGATTAAATAACACTTCGTTAATTTGAAAAAATCAAGTTAAACGTTAATTAGCAAATGTGTTTTGAACCATCTGATCTAGTACTAAGGAATATAAAAAAAGAAAAATAAAAAAATGTACATATCCTTGTGATAATAATCTAATTTGGCACGAAAGATTTAGTTCTGCAAAGTTTTTAGTTCAAGTTTAGTAGTTTGTATTTGTTTTCATTCCGGCTCGTTTTTCAAGTTTACACTTTTAACCTTGATATTTTATAAGATGGTTACTCTAAAACTCAATCTTGCAATAATGAGGCTTATGTGCAATCGTTAGACTATTGAATTAAGCGACCACTCTCTCAAACCTTAAGAACAGAATTAAAACGATACATGCATCTACTGACACATTATTCTAAAGAGCTGAGGAGGTGTCTCACAGTGTTGTGGACCAGTTCACATGTCTACAACATTGTGAGACAAAGCACGGGCTACATTTTTCTATTTAATACCACCAAAGCGTAATGTTGAAGTGCCACCTCAATATACACATGAGGTATATTCATGTCGCAAATTTCATGTAGGGTCCACATTTGGGGAAAGTAAAATAAAAACTATGCTCTTATATAACTGGTCTTTCGGTCGGTTTATCATTTTCCAAGTTCTGGCAATTTGGCACATTTTTTGAGTACTCTTGGAGTCAAATGGGATTCAGAAGGTTAGAAGATGGACAGTTCTTTATATATGGAAGTGCATGTGAAGTATATACAGTCCACTTCTTCTTATTCCTTTTTTGGTGGGTTAAAAAGTCACTATTCCACAACATATATTGGCAACCAAACAGTGACCTTTTGATGACTAAAGATATGCCAGACAATTCTGAAGAAAAAGTTGAGCATGTACATAGCTCTCAAGAATAAATGATTCAAACATAATGTCTGCTTGTTGGGAAAAGTCTTATCACTATGACGACTTCTTTCTGGGGTATATAATTTATCATCCTTACAATGTATGTGTGTGTGTGTGTATATATATGTTGGTGTGGCCATGGAGTTAAAATGTATTAATTTCAATCAACATTGTCACATTTTAAAATTTAATTTTTTTGCTGTGTAATCATTGTGGATTGTTGCCATTGGCAATACATGCATGATATTGAATGGGAAGTGTTTTTCATTGGCTGTGCGTTTAAATTATGACTAGAGATATATATGCATGATATTTTAATCAACACTTAACAGATTTAATATATTATTTTGTAGTGTTTTTCATTTTTATTTCACTCCCAAAGTGATCTCTAGAGGTTTGTAATAACTTGGTGGTTGAAACTTGAAACCAAAATGGTTTATATATTTATCAAAATGGTTTTTTTTCTTCATAGTTCACATATAGATCTGTGTTGACTGTGTCAGAGACAATACCATGTGAGTCCCAAGTTTTACCTGCAAATCAAGCGGCAGGTCGATCTACTTGATTAGCCTTTTATGAGAAGTCCTTGTCAATTTGCAGCCTTACTATGACTATGTTTGCAAATTGAACATTTTTGATAACTTGTTAATGCCAGATAAATCTGAGATACTCATTTTGCTTTTACATGCATCATCTCGATCCGTTAACTAATTTGTTTGTATATGGGGTAGTGATAGAGAGTTCGACAGCCGACAATTTTAATCCGTTAATTAATTTGTTAGTATATAAGGTAGCGATAGAAAATTTGACAGTCGAATAATTTCTTGTTATGTGTGGGCATTGACATATATGTTATCATGACATCAATCTCCATCTCTTAACACACACAAAATAGTAATAGGCTGTCAGGATTAGGTATAATTTTTCTAACATATAATCTGCATACTACACAGTTAGATAAACTGTCATGACTACGTATTATTTTCTTAATATATAATCTGAATATTATAATTAGACTGTCGGAACTACGTATCATTTTCCTAATATTAAGTAATATATGATCTCTATACTACAGTTAGATAGACGGTCGGAATTACGTTTCATTTTCCTAATATATAATCTGTGTACTACAGTGTGTATATATGTTAGTTGGATTACTGTGATTGTCGAAGGAAAGAAGAAGAGTAGGCACATGTGAGGTTGGAAGGTTTGTACATTGAAACTAAATAATGCTTTGTGTTGTTTTGTGTTTGAGTGGGTCCTAGCTAGAGAGCATACAGTGACCTCATGCTATGGCATGTTGAAGTTGGGCAGGAATTTAATTCCCATATTGCAGTGTTGATGGAGATTGTGTGTGTGTCTCTTCAAGGAGAGTTCTTAATTCATAATTGTATGTGTGGAACCAAGAGAGCATGCATGGATCGATGTGTTTCACCTGGTTTTACAGTTTGAGATGACAATGCAGGGGCATGTCTACTGCATGTGTTGGCATGAAAATGCAGCATCCAACTTGAGTGGAGTTATTTCGTGTAAATAATCGCAACGTTTTAATCTATTGCTCATTGTTTTTGGAGAACTAACCTTCTACCTTTCATTTTACCATTAAACTACCAAAATATTTGTTTAGGGTGGATTGTGTAAATGTGTAAGCAAGTCAATGGGTCATATGTGCCGTAATAGTAGGTTATATATGGTTGTTCTTAGCAAAAGAGAGAGAGGAAAAAAAAAAAAAAAATGGAGGTAGAATTCTAAATTATTAGTAACTTTTAAAAAGAGATGCATAATTATGTTGGATGTTCTAAACTTTTTCTAAAAGGAGTTGGAGGCCCTATAAAGATTCGAGTGGCATTTGTTGAAGTTTTTTTTATTTTATTTTATTTTTTTTATTTTTTTATTTTTTATTTACCAACAGGCTAGTGGCCTCGTGTTATTAAGCTCTTACTAAGTAACAAAGAAACAAAAGTAAATAATATAAAGTTTTTATTTTTATTTTTTTTATACATAAATTTATAAAGTTTATTTTTTATGCATAAATTGTTCATGAGGGTAGATTAGTCCAATTTATTAAATTGTAAGGTTAAAAACAGTCAAAGGGTAATTTGGTCAATTTATCATGTAAATGGGTGTTTTTGTCTATTTTTGAACCTTCAAGAGCTGTTTTTGTCCAAAAAATAGATAAGTTTTTTCTGGATGTTCTTTTATCAAACCTAAAAAAGTATGACTGTACTTTACCCTATTCTTTAAAAAGAAGTTTTTACAATTAGGGTAATACTTTTCTTCCTCTTATAAGAAAAAAAAGAAGAAAAAAAAAAGAAAACTATATGTAGTTATTTATCTTATCATTTTTTCTTACTCTTGACTTTATAAATTATAAATTTATAATCCAATTTAAATTCAAGAATTTTTTTTGTAATACTTCAATTATTTAATCACAATTATCATACACTTTTGAGCACACTATTTTATCGACTTTGCTGAGAATAGTGTCCCATGGTACCATTACACTTCGATTTTAAGAAATTTAAGAAAATGATACTTTTCTTAATTTAATTTTATTAGTTTTACAGGTATCATATTATATTTGTATTGAAATTGAATTGTAAGCCATATAAATCAGTAAAACACTGCGCACATAAGATCCAATCATGCCTCTACACAGCTCCATCATCAAGAAGTAGGACTGTCAATTGTCAACTGCGCTGAGCATCAAATGGAAAATGACCTTAAATATATCATCAAATGGTTACATCATGATGATGTTCACACAAACCTATTTTATCGAATCAATCGCATTCTAAAATCATTATTTTAATTTTTTAAAATTTTCAATAAAGGAAATGACTTAACTACCTTGTGAAAAATAGGTAGTACTCAAAAATAATTTATTTTATTTCATTTATTAAAAACAACTATTTTTTTTTCCTAATTTTTTACATTGACCAGGAATTTGAAAAAAATTTAACGAGTGGCATGTGACAGCTAGGCAAGAGTCCGGCCGGGGTAGGACCAAGTGAGCATGAATGACGGGGTACGACAAACTTATCTCTCTCTTATTCTGTCAACTGATTGACGCCAGCCTGGCAATATTGCACATGATTGATTGTGGGTCCCACTTTCCTTCCGCCTGTCATCCCACATGCGGGCTCGACAATTTATGCACTCACCCCATTATTTTATATATATTTTTTATCTTATTCCCCTCCTCTCTTCTCACTATTCCCACTCCCCACACCACCTCCAATCCCACCCACCGTCCATCAAACCAATCCCAAATCAAGCCACGTGTCCAACCCTTCCCACGTGTCACCCAATTTATTCCGTTTCACTAAAAAAAATCCCATGTGCTCCTGTGTGATTTAATCCTCCACTCTCATTTTGCTTCTCTCACTAATCATCTATTGATAAATCTAAACCCAACCAAAAATCTTTTTCTCTCTCTAAAACACGTTGCTTTGCTAGCTATTATTCCTTAACTCATTGGGCCGTTTCAATTTCAAACAATTTTGTCGGCGACAAACGTTATAAACGATAATTAATTGCTTTAGTTAATTTTGGGCAATCATATATTTTGTTACCTTATTCTCCTTTTCACCTCCGCAAGTTTGATTTGCTCGTATGTTTGGAAAGGCTGGACTATTTACCACTATTTTAATACCTTACATACATAATTTTTTTTGTCATTTATATAATAACTATAGTAATAGTTCGTATAGCATATGTTATATTTATATAATTAAGCAGAGAGAGAGCTACCCTGTTCCTGTACTTCTTTTTTTTCCCCTGGTGCAGTAGTTTGGGCATCAGAGTCTTCTGTTGTTGTTGTCTCTTTGGATGCTGATGCAGAAGAAGCTCAGACCCATGAAGATGCTAGTAAGTACGTTTCTTTTCTATTTCGTTAATTTTCTGGTTTTCTCTCTCCTTTTTTGTTTTCCTAATCAAGAAATTTTCAAGATTTTTCTTCCATTTTGATTGCTGTTAGGGTTTCATCTAGAGTATATGTGTTTTGGGTGTTGTCAATTTTCATTGTAGAATGCTTTATTTGAAGTTTGCATTTGTGAGTTTTTGTAGTTTTTAAAAATCACAAATTTTGTTGATGTTTTATTCAACTATATATATCTCAGTGTATTTCTTTTTTCTTTTTCAATATCATGCTATGTTTTCTACCATAAATGATCAAGTTGCATTCCAGAAATTGATTAAAGTTTTGTTTTTCTTGATTTTATTTTATTTTTGATGTGGATTTTATTTTTCTCCTATGGTTGTCCTTTGATGAGTGGTCTTGTTCTCCTGGGGTACTTCTCTAGGAATTTGTAATGCTTGTTCTTAGAAGTTAGAATCAGTGGCACCTTTTTTACTTTGTGTTTTCTTTCTTTTTTCTTTTGCCTTAAAAATATTGCTTTTGTTGCTTCGGGGATCATGAAGTAGAAAAATACTTCAACTGCTTGTTGAGGCTGGCTTGTAGTTTCTGCAGTTCAGTTATTTCTTTGTTATTATTTTTGGTTCTTGGTTTAGGTCATCTTTTCATTTTTCTGTTGGGCTTTCAGTATCGGCTTCAATCAAATGTTCAATTAATAATACATTACTAGCCCTCCATCTTACACCTTCATATCATTAAGTTAAAATATGATGTTGATTTTCATTAGCATTTTAGAGGAACTACTTTAGAAATTTGTGTTAGCTACTACTCTAATTAACTGCTTCGGTGTCATTATACAAATCCTCTAATTTTGTAATGTGTTCGTTTCTCTAAGTGTTTCACTCTAGATATTTTGCTAGTATTTTTGTTTATGGGGTTGTGCTTGCATAATTTTTTACATTTAAGCTAAATTTTGTAATATTTCCATTTTCCCCCTGTTATGAATATATTGGACTATTATTTTATTTGTAACTTAATTTCAATAGCTTCTGGAAAATCCAAATTGTTGTTTTACAACAAACAACAATTTGGTTATGGCCTGTCAATGGGGTTTTGACTTGCATGATTTCATCCCATTTCCTTCCTGTGGAGTTCTTTTTCTATCCCCCTTCCCTTGTTGGTTCTCTCCCCCCTCTCTCGTGCATTTGTGTGACTTGGTACTTCTAAAATCTAGCATTTTTTCTATTCATGTCTTGCTTACTTTGGTCATATATTTGAATCAGAACTTAGGTATAAAACTGCCTTTTTCATAGTGGCGTCACCTTCTCTTGTCTTTTCAATTTTATTATTATCATTCGGGACGTAATTATAGCATTGTTTTTCCCCCTTCAGGTGGTGTTGTTTTTGCTTCTGGTATTGAGCAATGCTGTGGAACTTAATGTTAAAGAAAATGAGGGAGAATGTGAATATAAGCCAACATTGGACCCAAGACCGCACAGTGTATCCATCCTGGAGTTTGGTGCTGTTGGGGATGGGAAAACATTGAATACCATTGCCTTCCAGAATGCCATTTTCTATCTCAAGTCCTTCGCCGACAAGGGTGGAGCTCAGCTCTATGTGCCACCAGGGAAGTGGCTTACTGGAAGTTTCAATCTTACCAGCCACCTCACAGTATTCTTGGCAAGCGGTGCTGTAATTCTAGGATCTCAGGTGTTATTCTGTTCCTTAATCCATGTTTTAGTTGTTTTTGTCTTACTTCTGATTTATGCACCATTTAAGAAATTAGTGCATGAAAATACTTCCAATAATATATGGATTACTTGGAGAGATTTGTATGAACCTTTGGTTTTCACACATAGAATCATTGCTTGATCAGGACTCATCTAACTGGGGAATCATTGAACCCCTGCCCTCATATGGTCGGGGTCTCGAACTTCCTGGAGCAAGGTATCAAAGCTTGATAAATGGGTATATGTTACGCGATGTGGTAATAACAGGTAACAGTGATTCCTAGATTATGTTGTCTTATTTGACCACCAATGCTTTGTCGGTAGTTTGTTCCTTGGTAGTTTGTTCTATGTTTCTTGTATAATCATTCTTACCTTAATTGACTGTACTAGGTGATAATGGAACCATTGATGGCCAGGGCTCAGTTTGGTGGTATTGGATCAGCTCTCATTCCTTAAATTACAGTCGCCCTCATCTTGTTGAATTTATTGCTTCTAAGGATATTGTTGTGTCAAACCTTACTTTTTTGAATGCCCCTGCATATCATATCCATCCAGTCTATTGCAGGTTTACTGACTCAACCTTTATGATTTTTGGGTCATATTATTTGAATCAATTTCTTAGTAAAACATCCTGAGCATTATCAACTAAATCAATTATTATCTGGATATGCAGCAATGTGCAAGTTCTTAACATTTCAGTCTTTGCTCCACCTGAATCGCCTCTCACTGTTGGTATAGTTCCAGGTACATGATTCATTCATTTCGAATTTCTTTATTCGTCTAGTGAATTAATTACATGCTATAAACAAGTCTCTCTCATGTATTTTTCATGCAAGAGTGCCTTTACTTCAGATATCAATATTTTGCCTTCTTTATTTCCTTTTCTTGTTTATTTCAAGGAGGCTGTTGTTTAGAAGATACTTGTGTTCTATCAGAAATATAATGTTTTGTCATTCAAGATTTTTAGGTTAAATTGATGTTTGGCTCATCCCTTTATGTGTGTTGGTATTGTTGCCACCAGGCGGTGGTTGGGGGATGAATACTGATTGCAGAGTGGGGTATATTCATGCATGTTGTGGGAAGACAACCTTTGAAGAAGTATGTTTATCCCACTTTTCTCATGTAGACCAAACAGAGTTCGGATCCTTCAGAAGAGAATCTTTCAAGTTCACTTCCTTACAAATATTTGTGAGATAATAGAACATGCATATAAAATATTTTCTGGTAGTCTTAATCTCCTTGAGCTAAGTTTTGGGTGACAATGAAGTTTAAATGGTGCGTAGCAGGTGAATTCCAATGGTTTACACAAGGAAATTTCTTGGTGAAATGTAAGAGGGCCAAGGGTTTGCTTGACTACTTCCTTCAATTGATTTTTAAAACTCCGACCCCCTCCCCCTCCAGTAGCTATTTACTCGATCAATTATCAATTTGGTAGTGTTCATGGTTTTCGCTTTTATGCATCTAGTTTACGTTATTTGTCTTCATGAAAAGAAACTTGCAACAGATGTGCTATCTTTATCTTCATATGACATAAAACTGTTCTTTCAGATTCTTCAGATAAAATATGCATAGAGAACTGCAACATTACAACTGGCTATGATGCCATTGCACTCAAGAGCGGGTGGGATGAGTACGGGATTGCATATGGCAGACCTTCAACAAGTATACACATTAAACAAGTCTACCTTCAAGCATCATTTGGCTCTGCCCTTGCCTTTGGCAGTGAGATGTCTGGTGGCATTTCTGATGTGCTTGTGGAGCATCTCCACCTCCACGATTCTCTCACTGGAATTGAGTTCAGAACTTCTAGAGGTAGGGGTGGATATATCAAAGAGATCATTTTATCGGATATTGAAATGGAAAATGTCCACACAGCATTTGGTGCCACGGGACAAAGTGGGTCTCATCCTGACGACAAATTTGATCCTGACGCTCTCCCAGTTTTGTCTCAAATCACCCTGCGGAATGTGGCTGGTAGAAATATCACTCTTGCTGGAAGCTTCATCGGCATTCAAGAATCTCCCTTCACTTCTATATGTCTATCCAACGTTTCCTTATCAGTCTCCTCTGGCTCTGCTACTTCTTGGGTTTGTTCATATGTTTTAGGTTTCTCTGAGTTTGTGTTCCCTGAACCATGTCCGGACCTTGAGACCTCATTTTCAAATTCTTCCTTAGCTTGCTTCTCCCTCCTGAATTCTAATGGTCATGCTGCAGCTTTATGATACCATTTCCCCCACATTAATATTTGAAACTCATCTCTCAGTTCCATCGGACCGGGGATAGAACCAAAGATATTTCTACCATCTTCACTCAGGACAGATTCTTTCCAATAAGACCATCTCCCCAGAACACCTGTTTATCTCCTTCCCTATTTGCACTCTTGCATGTTACCTTCTTCAGATTATGTGTACAGCCTCAATTCTTCATTCATGTGTAAGGAATTTTTGGTATTGAATTTTTTTTTCTTATTTTTGGTTCGTTATTCTTTTCATTGTAAGTGAAATGTTAAAACAAATATTGTTGGATATGAAAGGCAGAAATCATTTGAATGAAGCATCTCAATTATCAAACTAAGCTTACACTAGAATACTTGAAGACAATTTGGTCTCCTCAGTTCATTCTTTTATTCATTTATTTTTTCATATTTACTTTCTGGACCTTAAAAAATGGATTGAATTGTCAAACACTTTGATGTGATCTTAATGAAGGGTTATATAAAACTAAATATAGACTAGAAGATTTGAAGCCAATTTGGTCTCCCTCCATTCGTTTCAGAACCAAGGCTCCACGTGTACGTAGATCAAGCCAGAGATAGGGCGTTTTGAATCATAAGCACAGGAAACCATCATAATTTATTAGATGTATTTTAGCAGATTGGGTGGATTGCCTTACCTGCTAAGATTTAAGTCCTTCTAGAATTGCACAAGGAAGAAATTCTAAGAAATGGTTCAAAGGGGAGACTTAAATCAGGTCAGGTTTTTTGAACTCGAATATAAGACAACAACATAATATTCTATAGTCTTCAAGTATGACAATGTTCTTCACCATCTTCATCTTCCAAAAACACCCATGGTAAATAAATAAAACCCAATTTCACTGATGGTTAATCCCATATGATACAATTACAGTACCCTCATTTCAACACTAGCACAAAACACGGCATCTATCTTGCTGCAAAGGCAATATGATCCCATTGAAACCACGTTTATTGCCTATATACAAGAAGGAAATTTTGGTTTTTTGATGCCCTCAATAAACTTCACATGCCAATTATTTGGAATACAGATATACTCAAATTTTCTATAGAAATACAAAAAATTATGTCAGCACTTTGTAGTGTCATCACCCACATTATGTCTAGAGTGTTGTTTATTTTAAATTCTCAAGCACCAATTAGACAATTATTTGGAATACAGATATACTCAAATTTTCTATAGAAATACAAAAAATTATGTCAGCACTTTGTAGTGTCATCACCCACATTATGTCTAGAGTGTTGTTTATTTTAAATTCTCAAGCACCAATTAGAAATTTATGTGTTCTAAAGAAGTCCCTCTGTTATGTACTTATGCTTCCTGAAAAATCTAATTGAATTGTCATAGATTTGGGTTGATAACATGCTAGCCTAATGTCACGGGCCTAGAGATTTGGCGCAGCGGCACGGCCCGTGCGGCACCAAGGCGTTGCTTCAGCTCGCGCAAGCGCCCTGGTCAGCCACCACGACCTGCCCTCCCAAGGATACATGCTGACTGGTTTCGGCCTGCCATGGCCTCGTCAGGGGAACGGCTCCAGCTCCCGACCAGTTTGTGCAGGGATGGCCAACTCCCTTCTTCATAGTCAAGTCCAAGACTAGCGACAAGCACCTCGAACTGAACCGAGTCGACCTGCCTGAACTCTGAAGAGGTACCATCCTGTGGTCCTGCACGCCCCTTCCCTGGAACCATTCCCAGTCAATGAATGTTCTTAGCCAACCAGCATGCGTATCTTCTATGCTCATGGCGTCGTTAGGAATCGGATCGTGACATTCTCCCCCACCCAAATCCTGCGACGCCCTCGTCGCAGTGCGGCGCTGACTCCGCTGCGTCCAACATTCCAAAGCCTGTCTCCTCCAAGTGGTATGCTCGCCTGCCCACCATCGCTTCCTTGTACAACCCCTGGCTGCACTCGCCCAATGATAGGGTTTCGGGCTAAAGGGACGCCCACTTCTTCGGGACGCAACCCCACGTTATGCCGCCTCCGCGACACCCCGAGCAAACAAGCGCCCTCCGGCTGACTTGATACCCGCCCTTCACAACGGTTTGCACGCCTCTTGAACTTGCAAGAACTTTGGTGCGCGCGGCCCTCCGGCCATCCGATGCGCGCGGCCCTCCGGCTTAAAGGACGCATCTTGATGGGGAGATGGAGGCTCTCCTCCAACAGCATTGATTGCCCACCGACGCTTTAGTGCACCGTCTTCATTCTCAAGACCCCCGGATCGACAAGGGGGCACACCTTTGTGCTTTTCCCCAAGTCCTGCTCTGATACCATTTGTCACGGGCCTAGAGATTTGGCGCAGCGGCACGGCCCGTGCGGCACCAAGGCGTTGCTTCAGCTCGCGCAAGCGCCCTGGTCAGCCACCACGACCTGCCCTCCCAAGGATACATGCTGACTGGTTTCGGCCTGCCATGGCCTCGTCAGGGGAACGGCTCCAGCTCCCGACCAGTTTGTGCAGGGATGGCCAACTCCCTTCTTCATAGTCAAGTCCAAGACTAGCGACAAGCACCTCGAACTGAACCGAGTCGACCTGCCTGAACTCTGAAGAGGTACCATCCTGTGGTCCTGCACGCCCCTTCCCTGGAACCATTCCCAGTCAATGAATGTTCTTAGCCAACCAGCATGCGTATCTTCTATGCTCATGGCGTCGTTAGGAATCGGATCGTGACACTAAGTTCACCTAAGGCATTTGAGGAGGGAGACAGCCAATCCATATCATGACATAATGTTTGAATACTAGAGATGGATTCATGTCAGCTTGCACACTCACAATGTCTAACTGACATCAAGTCCCTTGATGACCTGAAAATTCCCCTATCCCTCTATTTTTCTTCTCCTAAAAATTGTGGAGTGGTGGAGAGACGCATTCTAAAATACTATAGAGTTTGTAGACTAGAGAATATTTCACAAGAGTAGAAGAGTTAAAGAGTTTTTTAGAGTTATAAATATTTAGATAATAAAAATTTAGAGAGTTACGTTAGTCATTGATAGTAATAGATCCAATCCATTCATCAGGAAGGATGAGGTCTATATATAAGAAGGTAGTCACCTTGATTCCTTAGAAGAGGGCAACCAAAGTGACTGTTTCTTTTATTATTAGAAAATTTTTAGTGTTCTTGTAATTAAGAAATGGAACGAAATAATTTAACTAAAATGCAATATTTTTATTTTATATATATGTTAAACTAATCGGGCACAACAGATGGTATGATTGGTAGATTTAATTATTTCAGAATCAGAATCAGAATAGACTTTTCAATACTTTTGGTATAGATTGTTTGTATGACACATGTGACATATAAATTGTTTTATGAGACAAAAAAAATTTTTGTTTGAAATTTGATTCTTCAATTCTTATATATATTTTTTTCTTTTTCGCAGTTGTCAGATTTTCTTTCAAACATCATTCTTTACTAATATTACCAGCTAGTTCTAACCATGGCTTGCTGAACTCTCTTGCCTTTTGTAAATAATCAAGAGACTCCAAATGATTGCCCATTTAGGCCTTAAAAACATTAAAATCAACCTAATTGCACTGGGGAAACCAGTGAATGAGAGTGAAAAACAAGGATGCTTGAACATAATAAACTTCACATGCCGACATCTATATTGCTGCAAAGGCAATAATCCAATTAAAACCATGTTTATTCCCCATGTACAAGAAGAATTTTTTTTGGTTTTTTGATGCCCTTAATAAACTTCACATGCCATTTATTTGCAATACAAAAATACTGGCACTTGAATCCTGCACTTGATGAGGAGAATTTTCTGTACAAATTCAGAAAATCCCGTCAGTACTAGATATTATTTCACAGCCAGTTCTATAAAATGATTCTCTCAAATTCCACAGATGATAACAGACTCAAAGATAACATTAGTCTGATCTAAAGGGAAATCACAATCACATAAGGAATATCTATTAAACAACTGTAAAAAAACAATGAAGACAGAAACATGAAAACAGACAAAATACAGGCTGTTAGACAATTTGCAGTATCATAACAAAACTTTCCTTGTATTTTTTCAAGTATAGGCATGAGGGTGTGCCATGAGGTAGGCTTCCACAACTTCATACATCCCAATGGCTCTATCCTTCCCGAGCTCGATGTCTTCTTCTTTGATCTCCACATTCTCCTTTGGCCTGTACTCACTCGACAACTTGCAAATGCATCCTGAATAACCATATCTCTCAAACTTGACCTCATAAGACACCGATTCAAGCTTCTCCAAGAACGCATCACCCTCGAACAAAGTGTACTTGCACATGAAGTTCTCGTTGTCAAGCGCATCAATTCGATGTTTCACATACCTCAAAGGACTAGCTGCGTAACAAACCAAACCAAACCAAAAACTAACAACTTTAGGCACCAAAATAAAACACAGGATCCACAAACTCAATATTTTCGTGCTAAAAAACTAACCTTCCGTGAAATTCATCTGCTTGATGCTTCCAACCTCTCCATTGCCTTGAAGATATTCGATGCTTTTTATCGACGAAAACATGAGCTTGGGGCAGAGGTTGTGGGAATCAAGGATCAAGGCCTTGAACATCCTAGATGGAGTCACTTGTGTCTTGAATGTTTGGGAGATTTTGATCACACCCATCTTTGCTTAACAATAAACAGGAAGAAGAAGTGATATATATATATATAGAGAGAGAGAGAGAGAGAGAGAGAGAGAATGAGGAGGAAAGAAGAGCAGAGGAGAGGGATTAGTTGGGTATTTTGTGAGAAGATGAAGACTCTGAACTATAAATTTTTTTGTAAACGCAGTGGGAATAAGATATAGGAGGCTTGGATATGAATGAATACACCGTTCAAAATTGGGGTATTATTTTAGTATTAGATCTCAAGTTTTAATTTTGACTTGTCAACTTGTGATAAGCGAGTTCTTTTATGAGAAACCTCTTTGGCTACTTTGGTGACATGGAATTTCCATGCTGTTAAGTTTAGTGGTGTGGTGCTGCAAGTAAATTGATTGACCTCAAAGGTTGGTTAGCAGTGGGGGGACCCTTGTGAAAATATAAAAATGTGTTTAAAACTAACAAAAGACTTTGAAATGACATTAATTTGACAATGCACCTACTTTTCTAAATCAAAACTTATAAGGTTATCCTAATAAAGTGTCTATGACATAGAGTGATGGTACACAATTGCCGAAATATTTTGTCACAGGTAAAAATATTTTAAACGTTGTAGTAGGCGGAGTCAAAATTTTAATTCAGATGGGACATAGCGTAAAAATATATATATATATAATTTAAATAAGAAGAAAAAAAAAATTACATACTATATAAATCATTCTTAAGTGTAACAAAAAGAATGTTGAGAAGTAAGGGGTCAAAAAAAATTAATAAGAAAAAGAAGAAAAAAAGAAAGAAAAATGAAAATTTTGAAAGGAAAAAAAATTATAGTTTTGAGTAAAGAAGAAAAATTTAACTATTTTTTAAAGAAATCGAAGGAATAGTAAGAGCAAAAGAAAAAGAAAAGAAAATTTTAAAAATTTAAAATTTTAGGAGAGCATTATATAGAAATTTTATTATAAATGTACAAATTAAAATAAAAATTATTATATTTTATAATATGCGGGCCAGACCAAGAGGGAAATGTGCTCACCCTAAGCAGACGCTCTGTCCCTGGTTGAAGCCTATTTTATCATGTAAGCTTAACTTTTATACATTTCAAGAAGACTTGCAATTTACCCAAAATAATAATAATAAAATAATAAATAAAAAAATGCAGGGATGTGAATGCTATCTAATTACCTCTCCATACACATGACCGGAGGCAAAATCGATGAATCCATTGGACACAATAGCATACTTCTTTTGTGCAAGTGATGGGACAGTATTGGTATACTAATTTTCGTCTTGGGAAGGCATAATCAAGGTCAATATTGGTATCCTAATCCTACTACCCCACACGTGATGGAGTTGGTGGTACTGGGGCCTATGCCACGTTAGATTTTTGGACATTAATAAGAATCGGAGTAAGTCAAACCCAGAGCCGTTAACTTTTTTGTTAGCAAAAAGTTAGGCCTTTGTTATTTTCATGGGCATGCATTTACAAGGGAAAAAAACGAGGACCAAACCATATGAAAGGCTGACAAATTGAAGAAACAAGCACATCCGGAATCAAAAATTAAATTTACGGGGCAGTGTAAAAATAATAATAATAATAATCACGATAAAAAATATACATTTTATAAATTAAGAATTAAAGAAAAAAATTATTCAAAATAATATGTCAATTAATGAGTAATTTAAGAAAGATAACTAATTAATAAAAAAATTTAAAAAAGGAAAGAAAAATATGATAATTTTTGAAAGGGAAAAAAAATGGAATTTGATTTAAAAAGGAAAATTTGACTTTTTTAAAGGAAATTAAACGAATTTAAAGAGTAAAAAAAAAAAAAGAAATACAAAATTTAAGAGATAATTTTAAAAAATAAAAATAAGAGAGATTTTCATATATATATATAAATATATATAAACTTATAGACAGGGGGCATGTGCCTCCTAGGCATACACTGTCTCCACCCTTGAGCACACGGCAGCATTTTCATATACTCCACATTTTTTTGATTTATATTAGGTTGTATGACAATAAATGGTTGGGATTAGAGTATGATTTTTTTTTTTTTTTTTTTTTGTTAGTACGCACACACTTATACCATCTCAACACAAACTAATCATAATATGGACTTCCTGACAAAAGTTCCATTATTCAAATATTAAATTGCCAACTATCATTTACAAATTTATATTCCTGACAACTATAACCCATTTTCAGACAAATAAAGTCTTTAACTATTACATTGAAATTACGTGAAGTTTGAAAATATATTTTAATTTCAAATTCACTTATTGCAAATAAATTCGTATGAATCAAACTTACAGGCAACTCTAATTATTGAAATCAAATTTCCTTCGCATATTGTGTCTTGGTGCTGCATTGTTAGTGTAACGTATTATTTTTTAGTTCAATATTCTCGTGATGAAAACTATAACACCATGAAATAACAATACAAATGTATTATTTTTAACAAAAAAAAAAAAAAAAATACAAATGTATTATTGCCTGATTTTAAATTATTAATTGTTTTAAGCAATTTAAGGCACCGAGGCAAAGATGTCTTGCGAATGTATGGCCTTCCTGCATTCTTAGAGGCTGATCTTGTTGCCTTTTTAGTTTCTGACATATATTTTAAAAACCAGTGTCTCACTGCTAGAATGAAAATTATCCAAGAACCACTTTCACTCTTGTACAATTCTGAAACAAAAATTTACTTCTTCATGTGTTCCACATAACAGTTCAGGTTTCCAACTGCCAGTTCTTTCGCTTCCGAATTCAGATATACACATACACACACACATATATAGATAATGGTCGCATGTATTTCATGCACTCCCGATGCTCTACCAAGAAGAAACCCGTCCCTGAGCTCTAACCTAAGATTCACTTCTCAAGAAGCCCTCAATTTACTTCAAAATTGCTCCGACTTTAAACAGCTTAAGCAAATTCATGCCAAAATTATTCGAAACGGTCTCTCTCACGAGCATGTAGTGAGCACGAAGCTGATTAAGCTTTGCTCCTCTTACAGAAAAATGGAGTATGCGACTCTGGTTTTCAATCAAATCAAAAACCCTCCAACCTTCACTTGGAATATCATGATTAGGGCTCACACCATCAATGGCAGCTCACGCCAAGCTCTCCTCCTCTACAACCTCATGATCTGCCGAGGACTACCACCAGATAAATTCACATTCCCTTTTGTTATCAAGGCGTGCATTGCTTCCTCTTCGATTCGCAAAGGACACGAGGTTCATATGCTTGCAATCAAGACTGGGTTTTTGGATGATATGTTTGTGCAGAACACTTTGATGGACTTTTACTTCAAGTGTGGGGATTCAGATTATGGACGTAAGGTGTTCGAGAAAATGCGTGTGAGGAGTGTAGTCTCGTGGACAACCATGATCACTGGGCTTGTTGCTTGTGGGGAATTAGATGACGCCCGGGTTTTTTTTGAACAGATGCCGATTAGAAATGTTGTTTCTTGGACAGCAATGATTGATGGGTATGCCAGAAATCAAAGACCCGAAGAGGCTTTTGAACTGTTTTGGAGGATGCAGCTTGATAATGTGAGACCGAATGAGTTTACGCTGGTTAGCTTGTTGATGGCTTGCACTGAACTGGGAAGTCTGAAGTTGGGTCGATGGGTTCATGACTTTGCTCTAAGGAATGGGTTCAAAGTGGGTGTTTTCCTTGGGACAGCCCTTATTGACATGTATAGCAAATGTGGTAGTTTGGAGGATGCGAAGCGAGTGTTTGGTGATATGGAAGTCAAGAGTGTAGCTACATGGAATACGATGATTACTAGCTTGGGGGTGCATGGTTGTGGAGAGGAAGCTCTTGATCTTTTTGCGAAGATGGAGATGGCAAATGTGCAGCCAGATGCAATCACTTTCGTGGGCGTCTTATGTGCTTGTGTACATACAAATAACGTGAGTGATGGTCACAGGTACTTCAAGTTTATGAGTGAATGTTATGGTATCACACCGATTGAAGAACACTGTAATTGCATGATTGAGCTCTCTAGTCGTGCCAACAATTTAGATGAAGTTTGTGAATCAGTGGATGCCAAGCTTGTTTAGGAAAAAAAAGCATTTTTGGGGCACCAGTATATCTCATTTTCTAACCCATTGCTAATGTTGAGTACTTCTTACAACGTGTTGGACAGGAGTGTTGCTTGGGGATAGGTACGTTCTCATTGTCGTCTCGCAGCTTCAAGACTTGGAAGTGGAAAATGAGTTGATTTTTTATATTTTTAAATGTTAAATTAATGTTTCCAGATTATGCAACAATACTTTATCATACTGATAAAGTGAGCTTTGTACAGACATATTTTATGTTTTGAAGGAGCCCTGTACAAAAGCTTCAATTTGTAGATACATTGATCACTAAACTTTTTAGTGACACAACATCAGAAAGGTGATTCATATAAAAGCCAGATTTCAAATGAATGTGAGTGACCAAAGGTTTGTAGCAGGAATATGAGACCTTCTTACCTGTCTTCACTAATAGATTGTATGAGATGCAAGCATCATGTCCAGTAAATTGAAAAATCATGTGTTTTATACTTCATCCTGCAATGGAAACAAGTATTTCTAGTTCCCTTCCTGTCTCATGGAAAAGCATTCCATTCTATTCATTTGGAAAGTGTGGAAACCTAATCAGTCTTCTAGATGGAACTCTATTAACCTTCCTGGCAGATTCATATTTCAGTTTTGAGACAAGCTGGATCAAAGCCAACCCTAGAATCCATTATTTGATTAGTTAATTGAATAATCAAGTGAAAATGTGATTCAATAAGGGTGTGTCCTATTTAAAATATCTTTCCCCATTTATGTTAATGTCAGACTTCGAATAGGTAATGACTGAAATGTTGACTTTGCCATTCATGCCTTCAAAGTTCACAGACTAGTTTCATTATTAGTGACTCCAATGGTCAATTTTGGAGATCATGGATGTCTGTATCATTCACTACTAATTGCTTACTGCAGAAGACCTTCTTATTGGCAATGTGTGGGTTGCATAATTCTTTTGGACATATCCTTAGGGTGCCAGTGTTCTGGTGAGCTCGTAGTGCTTTGGGAGGGACCAATGGTTGAAAATTCGAGCCTCAATGACTTAGATCAACCTCGACATACAAGTGTCCACCTCCTTAATCAACTCTGACTCACGACAGTTACTATGCCCTCACATTTGATTGCAAGGAACTGCCAGCTCAATAGGTTAGTTAACACTAAGATTATTTGCTCTTTTGGCGAAAAGCCAACTAATGAGAGCGGACAAGCTTGTGAAACAAGGACGTCCTAAATATGATCCCGTTGTTGTCATTATGTCTCCCCTTGTAATGAAATTACCTGCAATGTATATGGAGGTTGCACCACGCAAGCGCCCAGGAAGACTCTAAAATGGCTTTGCATGACATAATATGATCCCGTTGTTATCATCATGCCTCCCCTTGTAATGAAATTACCTGCAATGTATATGGAGGTTGCGCCACGCAAGCGCCCAGGAAGACTCTAAAATGGCTTTGCATGACATATGTTTAGACTTGAATTTTAAAATCTTCCACATTTGTGTGGAAACTTGCGAAGTGGTGGAGAAAGGCGTGGAGGATTCTAAAATACTAGAGAGTTTGTAAGAATTGGTACATTAGAGAATATTTTAGAGGAGTAGGGACTTTTGTAGATATGATAAATATCTAGATAGGTAAATGGAAAATTCTAAAAGAATACATCTTATTGATTGTAATACATTTTATCCTCCAATATGTCTATATAAGAAGCACAGTTCTTATTTACCGTCATACAGTTCTAAGAGTTAGGGTAGGACAGTCCCAAATGTGCTCGAAGAAACGGTGTGTATCATAACACAATTGGATGTTATCAAAAGAAATATTTTCTTTTGAGATATATTTAAAGTTAATTGACAATCTGATACATAGATTTAACAATCCCCAGTTAAATTTAGTTTATTATTCTCAAATCAGTTTCTTAGTTAGATTTTGAGTACCAAGTTTATTATTCTCAAATCAAGGTTGTTACAAATGTTTTTTTATGCTCAGAGAGTCTGACACCTTTATTTTAATTGCTTTAATTTTCTTGTTTTAGTGTAATTGTAGTTTAATTGCATTTCAATTCCTATAATTGCTTTAATTTTCTTGTTTTAGTGTAATTGTAGTTTAATTACATTTCAATTTTTCTTGTTGCAAGTTGTATGATTCTTTCATGTTGTATGATTCTTTACATGAATGTGTGCTTGTAGCCACATTGTGTTTACATTTTTACATGAATGTGTGCTTGTAGCCACATTGTGTTTACATTTTTTCCCAAATTATTGAAGGCGGGTGGTTTAGAGAATGAGCTTAGTGGTGATTCCCTAAGACTTCTCTCCTATTTTTTAAACTCTACTCACTTAGTTTTAATTTAATTTAAATTGCATGTTTTTAATTGAACCTTAGAAGTACTTAATTGAACTTGCATCTTTTTAATTGAACCTTAGAAGTACTTAATTGAAGTTTAGAAGTAATACTTGTGGACGATCCCTTTCTCACTATACTTCATTGTATAATATTAATCTTACATCCTCATTGATCTGTTTGTCTATCTTCCAAGTGGATCAATCTGTTTGTCTATCTTCCCAAGTGGATCCTCGGATCAATCTGTTTGTCTATCTTCCCAGCACTTAGCACACATTTCAAAGGAAACAGCCATTTGTGGCAACACACGGGGTGAGCACCAATTTTTTTTGGTGCCGTTGCAAATTTTTAGCATGTAGACCTTAGGGTGTGATTGTAATACATGGCTTTAAAATTTTATTTTAAAAGCATCAAATTTTACTTTTAAATTCTGAAATTTAAATCAAGACAAGCATTACTAGATAATAGGATTCTCCAGTAACCTACTAGTAACTCCCAGGGTAGGTACTAAAGGATTCTCCAGTTACCTACCAGTAACTCCCAGTGTAGGTACTCAACTGATCAGATGTTGAAGTGGCCGTCTCTTCCCCCAACTGCACTAGGAAACGAGTGGAAGAGTGCAAAACAAGTATGCTTCAACATAATGTTCCATGCCTAATTTCAGCTCTGAATTTTATATGCAGGAGAAAAATTAAAAATTATTGGCTGGGTACAACACTAGTCAGAAGAATTTGATTTTAAGGAATTGCATGAGCATCCGTTAACTCACCTTAAACATCAGACACCCTACAAGCAATTGCAGATAGAAAATTCAAATTTGCAGATTCAAAGATAATGCCCCTTCATTCCTAACAAATGTCTCCATTCTCGTATTTATTTTCAGTATAGCTGTAAAAATCGCACAAGATGGAATTCTCCTGACGATTTTCTCCTTATTTTCAAGCTAAAAAAGAAAACCACGCCTTTACTACTTTAATCACACAAAGTCCCATTCACGAGAGACTCTATATATAAATATATCTGGACATAAATACTAGGAAGGTTTAGTAGTAATTAATAGGCATCAGGATTTGCCAAGAGGTAGGCTTCAACGGCCTTGAACATTCCAGAGGCCTTTTCTTTGCCACTCTTGATCTGGTCCTCACTGATCTGAGCATCGCCTTTGGTGTGATACTTGCTGCTGCTCTTGCAGATGGATCCTCCATCAGGGGATGCTACGATCTTGGTCTCGTAACAGATTGATTCAAGGATGCCCATCAAAGCGTCGCCTTCGATTATGCTGTAATTGTAAGTGAAGTTGTCTTTGTCAATTCCATCAACTCTGTGCTTCACACTCTTAAATTGGCTACCTGCAAATGACAATCAAGAACACACCATTTAGCTCTACCTATGCATACATAGAAATTTTGAGGGATAACTTAGTGATTGACTATTGACTACAGAAGAAACTAACCTTCTCCGAAAGTGATGACCTTGACAGTTCCAGGCCCTCCATCTCCTTGAACGATTTCAACACTCTTGATAGCCTGTGGCAAGATCTTGGGGATGAGGTTGTCGGCGTCGAGGACAAAGGCCTTGAACATCTTGGCGGGAGGGATTGTGGTGGTGATCTCCATATCATAACTGATCACACCCATGATATATGGTTTTCGAGGAAGTTTAAGGATTGATGATGATGTTGTACGTAGTGTGAGGGAAATGGGAGACGCAGAGTAGGTATTTTATAGAGTGAGGGATGATGCTAAAGGCTCTCCTTTTAAGTGTGAACTATCGCCAAAAATAAAAAAAAATAAAATAAGTGTGAACTATAGTTTGAAATTATGCACTTGTCATTATCTTCAACTTTACCTAGAAAAAGTTTTCAATAAACCATGGATCGTACGCCAGACAGCCAAGTTTGAACAATTCATATGGTCAGAATTCTACAACCCTAGACTTGCAAATAAATAATGAAATGGGCCCCACTTACCAAACTATCTAACTACAAAATCTTACAAATCTTCATTTAATTTCTGAAAGTATATTATCAATAGTATAAAAGATTAACTTGTATTCCACTCTAGATAGAGGATCATATCAGAGTCACCAAGTGGCAAAGAAATAAATTATAAGGATTAGACGAGTCAAAATTCTAGAAGGATTAAAGTCATATTCTTTTGAGTAAATCACGCCCAAATTAAAGTTTTGAAATTGAAATTAGTAATTTCTTTAATTTTATTAATTTCAATTCTAAAATTTTAATTCCATACAATTAAATAATTAAAAAGTTATACTATAATTAAAATATTATTTAGTATTTATGTCTATAATGACTTGAAATAAAGCAGACTTTTTATCAGTTTCAAAATTTACAAAATACGTTAAAATACTAGTAAATCAACTCAATCAAATCAATTTTGGAGTTACCAATTTGAGGTCCACTTAAGATGTTCTTCAATTTTTCTTGACACGCGTTAAAAACAGGCATATTTGCTTAATGTGAAGGTATATTTGATATATGTTACATTTTGATCATCTAGAATCCGAGCTGTAGCAACATGTTTGACCCCAATAGGCCACTAATCACGGTTGCTGCTGATTATGCCATATAAAATGAACCTAATGTTGACCATTAAATCAAGTTGCTCATTTTGTATAATTGCTTGGATATTTAGCGATCTTATATCTTTGCAAATTGGGCAATTTAGACAAAATAAAATAATTAGCTGATGAATGGCTATATATATATTCTAGGAATTCATACATGTTAAATGTATATATGTGGGTGTGTGTCTGCGTGTTTTCTTGTGTTCTATATAATTTAGTTATTTTTTTTTCTCTTATATTTTTGTGTTATAACTAATTTGTACATGGAAATGTGGTAGTGGGGGTGGGTGAAGAGGGAAAGTGAGGGAAAGAAGGTATTTTTGCTTATTAAAATATAACTTTTTATTTTTATTTTTTTTACGAGGCTACTTAGGATGATAGGGTCTTTTCCCCATAGTATATATGCAATTTCATCATTTTCAACTAAATTTTGTACCGGTCAGAGGGAAAATGCGTAAGTTTCCTCTTTAGTATATATATGCGCCAAATTTCTATGAACGACATTATATTTTATCCAAAATTTAAGAGTTTGATTGGTTTGTAATCTAAAAAATAATTTTTTGTTTTCAGATATAAAATAAAAAAATTTTACAAAATCTCTGTTTGATTCAGTTGAAAATTATCTTATGAAAACTCAATTACAAAAATACATCTTTTCAAATAACTATCTTTTTATAATTTTCAAAAATAATATTTTATTTTCTGAATGACGAATCAAACAAACCCTAAACTTTTCACTTTGAAAAGTAGAAGAATTACCACTGAACTGGCTTTGTCTTCTCGAAATATAATTTTTTATTTTCTTATACATATATTTAGTTTTTGGTGATTCCTATACATAATTCTCTCATATTAAATTTTTTTGCCCAAAATATCAACCAGTATTATCCGGTATGAGAAGGAATTGGGCCGGGGCTTGCTAATTGTTGGCCAACTTTCTCGGATCCCACATGTTACTTTATCCCAGTTTTTATGTATTCTCTTTCAATTTAACAAAAAAAAATAAAAAATTTACAGTCTTTGGAAAAAGAAAAAAAATCATCTCATGGGTTACAAAATGCAACGATTCTTTTTATTTTATTTATTTAATTATGAGAAAATATGTAATTTTTTATATTTATGTTCATTTAATTTTGTTAAAAAAATGTTTCATTAAAAAATAAAAATGTTTTCGAGTGATCGAAAAAATAGCAATGTGTTTTAAAAAAATTATCCAAAATATATAAGCTGTAAAATTAATTATCATTTCCATGATAAAGTGAAGCCCATTGAGACATCAATATTGACAGCCGACATCGTGATGGATTGGCACCTTCGCAACTAGAAATTTGGGGAGTTAAAAATCATCCAAGAACCATTTCATATTCATATTCAAGTGCTTGGTTATTAGAGAAATTACAAACTGAATTTTTTTTTTTTCCTTATAGTCTGTCACCTTCGCAACTAGAAATTTGGGGAGTTAAAAATCATCCAAGAACCATTTCATATTCATATTCAAGTGCTTGGTTATTAGAGAAATTACAAACTGAATTTTTTTTTTTTCCTTGTAGTATGTGTATCGGCCTCATAGTACACGCATCATTTAAGTTAGGAGTGCGGTTCGAAAGCGAGATCTCAAGAACTCACCTCCCAAATTCCTACCAATACAGATATGCCCCTGACCTGGAAAAATTACAAACTGAATTTGAATGGCTAACAATATTTATTTTTTATTATTTAGTTACAAACATGAAAGGTGTGTGTGGAATGATGATGTTTATTTTTATTCAAGTGGTTGGTTAAAAATAGTTTAATTGCTAAAATAGAGATAGTACTAAAAATTTTATTCAAAATACCCCTTGCAATTGACTTTTCATCAATGAATTCTGAATATACAACTTGCTAATATATATATAATTATATTATGATATTATATTAAACAATTGCAACTTCATCCTTACATGAGATTTTCCAATTAAACTGACACTCTGTCTACAGAGTATCATATAATAAAATTTAATTTAATTTAATTTAATTTAAATCATTATACTTCCAACTTGGCATTTCAACATCATCAAGATTACAGCTGCTCATGAAAGTGAAAAATCTCAATCCCTCCATTCAAGTACTGTAGACAAATTTTATGACAACATTGTATATATTTTTTTATAGAGTTGTGAAAATCAAACCAACAATGCAAGCAGCATTTTCCGATCACCAAATGGAAAATTTTGGAACATCAAAAGTGGACACAAAAACACAGCATAGAGTTTTCACAACTTGAGCTAATAGGCATCAGGATTTGCCAAGAGGTAGGCTTCGACGGCCTCGAACATTCCAGAGGCCTTTTCTTTGCCACTCTTGATCTGCTCTTCGGTGATCTGAGCGTCGCCTTTGGTGTGATATTTGCTGCTGCTCTTGCAGATGGATCCTCCGTCAGGGGATGCTACGATCTTGGTCTCGTAACAGATTGATTCAAGGATGCCCATCAAAGCATCTCCTTCAATAATGCTGTAACTGTAAGTGAAGTTGTCTTTGTCAATTCCATCAACCCTTTGCTTCACACTTTTGAATTGGCTACCTGCACATGCATGACATTAAGAATACACCATTTAGGTCTTGGTTTAAGCTGTCATGCAACATTTAACTAAATGTGTCAATTTTATTCAGCTATGATCCCGAACCATTTAATAATCTATCGGGAAACGTGCAAGTTTTAAAAACTTTTCGAGGGATTTTGATTCATAGATCTTGATTTATCACATAGAGACAAGTTTTATACAAAAATAAAAATATGATGTATCATTCAATTAATGGATTGAATACTTACATCAAAGGTCTGAGTAAACCTTTAAAACTTTCCTCTAAAGTGAATGTTCTCACTTATTGTAGATCCCTTAACAAGATGTCTTCTCCTTGGATCTCCATCTTCTTGGTAATTATTTTGCCTTTAGGGTGGGAGCCTCTATTAGATGAGACCATAAACCCCAATTTTCTAGAGAGAGAAAATTTATTCCTTTTTCCTTCCCATAAAAATCACCCCCTAAAATATACATAGACCATGTATATTTATAGGCAACATAAAAATAAAGAAAAGGAAACAACAAATCATTCTCCATCTCTAATTCATATATCTCAAATCTAATATGATTCCAATATCAAGTTGGGCTATGAGTGAGAATCCATTGGGCCTATTATTTTATTGGCTACAATGAATTAATAATTGGCCCGGTCCATGGACCCAATTCAATTAATTCATAAATTAATTTCTACTCCACTAAAAGAAATTAATTGAACTCCAATTAAATAATAAATAACCTCTAAGTCAATATTGCATTTTGACCCCTCTATGCATAATTAGTTATCGGATAAATATAGCCATCAATCCGACTACTTAATTAATATATTTATTTTGATACCTTTGATTATTTCTGGCTCAATCACAATAAAACATTTGTTTGACAAAAATAATAATTTAAATAAATAAATATATAATAAATCATTGTGTCTAAAAACACACGAAGGCCTTCGAATTTACTTTGTGATCAACCATAATCAATACAAAATAAATACAAGTAGCAATGATGCAAATATTGAAAATATAACCCTCTAACTATTAATTACATAACTACCCAAAGTGTCGGTTTAAGGATTCCGAAGAATCCGCCGAACAAATCAAAGTAATTATTAATTAATAAAAGAGTCTATACTTTTCTCATGCTTAAGAGTCAAATGCCATGACGGTGATAGGGAGTAATTGCATACGACGGCTCTCGCAATATATGTCAACCTAACGCGGATCCAGTTCAAGTCTTAATTAATTATGAGTCCATCCATAATTACCGACTATGAACAATTTATAATTACTATTTATATATCATGCATTGATTGTCATCACATACATATATATAAATATTTCTTGTAATTAAATGGACACTATCAATTTCATAGTGAATCGAAACATAATACATTGAATTCACCAATTATATAAATCATAAATATTTCAGATATGTCAGGAACATATGTCACTACAATCCAGATATGAATTTGCTATGCCAGGGTATATAAATCCCAACAGCTCCCACTTGCCCTCATAGCCAATTCAAATTGCACCTAACTCCAATGTTATCCAGATGATGATCAAAATTATTGATCAATGACACTTTTGATAATGGATCAACAAAGTTGTGTTCCAATGCAATGTTCTAACTACAAGTGCATTTTCTTGCCGGACAATATCATGTAGAACATGATACTTCCTCTCAGTGTATCTTGTTCCTCTATGGAACCTTGGGTCATTGGTTTGGACTACTTCTGCACTATTGTCACAACATAGCTCAATAGGCAGGCTAGTATACTCCACAACCTCTAAATCAGTGAGATCAAACTAATAGGCTTCCTTTGCCGCCTTTAAGGTTGCAATATATTCCACCTACAGGTTTGAGTCAGCAGTTGAAATCTGCTTAACAATCTACCAACTGATCTCCCTTCCATTAAGTGAACTTACACTGAGTCATGAACCTCATAGTATCTACTTCTGATTGAAAATCAGAACTAGCATACCTGACTAGGACCATATCATCACATCCATAAATGAATATGATATCATTGGTTCTCCTTAGGTACTTAATGATATTTTTCACAATAGACCAGTTGTCAAGTCCAGTATTGGACTGATCTCTACTGACTATCCTTACTATGTAGCGGATGTCCTGTTTGGTATAGACCATGGCATATATGAGACTCTCATATGCCGAAACATATTGTTCCAGTCTCATTTGATCAATCTCCTTTGATAGTCTTGAAAAACTACTTACTATAGAGAGCCATCCATATCAATAAAGCAAGAACTAATTCTTTGAGTTATGCATACCAAACCTGGTCAAAACTTTATCAATGTAGGATTATTAAGATAATCCTATTTTCCTTTTAACCTGATCTTGCAAAAGCTTGATCCTAAGAATATAGCTTACATCTTAAAAATCCTTCATTTAAAAGTAATTGAACAACTACCTTTTTATTGATGACACAACTTCCACATCATTCTAAATGAGTAGGATGTCATCAATATATATAGAATTAGAAAAATAATGACATTCCCTTGCACACTCATGATTTATTCACTAAGAAATCTTCTGGTATCTTTTTGTAGATTAACTTGCCTTCCATAGGAATCACCCTACTAGAAAGTTCTACAAGATCCCAGAATTTATTAGAATACATCGATTCCAACTCTGATTTCATAGTAACTCACCAAAACGATCTGTATCCACATCGGTTCACGCTTCCGTGTAACTTACTGGGTCCAACTCATGTTTAACAGGGATGTCCATAATGGTCTCACCTAAAAACATGATTCTGTCGAATTGGATGATAATCCTCCCACTACATCAATGTACCGATGCAAGAATCTGTGTAGTAGATGATGCTAACGCATCAATAGGGAATTCATATATTATTCTCAATCTCTATAATAAGTGTGTTCACATGTGGTACATCTGGTACTCATACCAAATTCTCTAACATTATGCTACTAGGTATGTGATTCATAATATGATTCTCCTATAGATAAACAGTGAGTGAAAACAATTAACTTTTATCTTTGAGATCATAAAATAATCCATCCTAGTGACATTTAGAGTAGCTATCAAATCTAGCATGCCTATGATCTGCTTCCAACTTACTTGTCCATATCAAGCGCACATGTGCAAGACTACCACATATGTGCATATGATTCAAACTAATATTTAGTAAAAAAACACAGCTCAACGGTATCCTTGAGACAGACTAAGATGGAATGCAGTTCATAATGCGCATCGATGTCATTAACGCTAAACTCTTAAATGAAAGAGATAATGTAGCATAGCTGATCATAAATCTACCCATGTTAAGTGGAATTCTGTTATTCCTATTTGACACCTAAATACATTTAGCGTCAATTGCGGAAAACTGGTACATAATACCCTCATTGACCATATAGTCTTTGCAATATCCCAAGAAATACTCATATCCTCGATCAGATCGAAGTGTCTTGACAAGTTTACCTAATACGTGTTCCACAACAGTCTTAACCTTCTCAGAAAATACCAAGAGTTTAAGACTTGTGTTGCATCAGATAAACTTATCCAAAACGTGAGTAATCTTGCTTGGATGTTCATAAGACCACACGTGTCAGTGTGTACCGACTCCAATTGTCCTTTATGTCTATTTCATCTGGCTGATTAAGCCCTAAGAGTTATCTATCCTTCAAAACAGGGTTCACAAGTTTGGTTTAGGCTCTCCTGCCTCACTAGGTAATTAACCTTCTTTGATCAATCTTTGAATCTTATTTTGATTGATAACAACCCAAAAATAGACATTAAAAATACAATGAGTCAGGAATAACAAATTTTCTCTTAACATTCAATCTAGAATATGCAACATTAGTTTCTACATCCTGCAAATCTTAAGAGTTTGTGATTATAGTATATTAACCATCTTTCAATACACCAGAAGTAATCGCATATCTATTCAATTTTATAAAACCAGTTTTACAAAATAACAATACAGTTTTTATAAACCACAAGTGAAACAAGAATAAGATAGCATCTAACTTCTGTGCATAAAAATAGTTCTCTAATACTAATATCCTCATACTCTCTATTTTCAGATGTAATACTCCCACTGACTTAGCTACAACCTTGACATCAGGTTAAGTACAAATATATTCCATATCATCGAGACTTCTGGAATCCTGAAATCCTTACAATAAATTGCAAACATGTTTAGTGGCTCTAGAATCGATCCATCAGGAATTAATAGACACAACCACATAACATGGCTCAATGATTAAATATATATTTTCCCATGCCACGTCATTGCTTAAACAGTTCGTCCTTTAGTGTTTTAGTTAGCGACAAAAGAAACAATTTTCTTCGCCCTCAACATACACTGCCTTATTCCCTTTAACCTTTTTGAATACCCATGTTTTGTGCTAGTCTAGTCCTATTATCATCCTTCTTCTTTGCTTTGCCGGTCCACTTGGGCCTAGAAGAAGATGGTATAGACTAGGTTAGATTGATAGGAACGCCCATACTCTTGATTATCCCTTCATCTGTTACCAATTCTATAAGAATATCAGCGAGTGTGAACTCAAACTGATTCCTTATTTAGTTCACTCTAACAGAGTCGAATGAGTTTGGTAACAAGGCAATAATCATGTCAACTTGAAACTTACCACCCAAGTCAGCCTATTGATCTCCAGCTAATTTTTAAATAATAAACAATCATTTTCCAAAATTTGATTTCAAACTGAAGTTCATGAGGCTATCTTGATGGTATTTAAATTTGACACAGTACTTAGGCATATGCTCTATCTAATCTCACCAAAATATCTCATTGACATTTAATATGATGCTTGAAGAAAATAAAATAATACAAATGTTAGCTTTGGAGTATATTCGAGCTAAACTCTAGAATATTGCACCAAGTCATATCATTTGCCTTATCTAATTTATTAAAAGCATTAATGTCAAATTTGGTATCTCAAAGTAAAAGAGATAGATATAGGAGTAATAAACACATTTTGTACCCTTACGTTGTGAATAAAATATCTAAGTTCATTTTCCAGTCATTATAAATAAGGTCCAATATCATAAAATATGTAAGCAAGCAGATAAACTGGAGTAGACATAATTAATCTGAATATTAATGCATTCATACAATATGCAAGGTGAACTATTAATAATGTCATGCATATTTAAAATTAAAATGAGCTTGTTAACCACATAATACAATAAATCTCAATCGAACAAGAGATCATTATCATTATTGGTGAACAATCCCTTTTAATTAATGCGGGTCCCTCAACTCTGTAGCATAATAAATTAACTAATCAATATGTCAATAACTTATCATGTTGGAGGAGTTCATTATTACTATTATTGAGATTCATTTGCTATTAAGCGAGCACTTCCATTAAAATAATAATATGTGGGTCCCTTAACCACTGCATGAAAAATCGAATAACCAATACGCCAATAACTTATTCGGTTGGCGAAATTCATTATTGATATTGGCGGGCAAATCCCATCATTTCCATATCTCTTAAGACAATGCCTTGTCTATCATATGAAATGATTCCCGATTTAATTTAGCCTTTCTAAAATCACCTAGTATAGACCACTTCGTTGGGAAGCTAACACTATTGATTTTAGATTGAGTGTATAACGCTATTAAAACTCTAACGAAAAATTAAACATTAAATATGTTGTCATTATAATATAGACTCTTTAAATCATGCGTAGGGCCTTATTTTTAAAGATCTAATTACAATGAACATTTAATATTTGTATTTTCATGAGACAACCATTCTTATAATATTAAGACTCTTCAAATTATGCGTGGGGCCTTATTTTTGAAGATCTAATTACAATGGTGTTAATAACAAAGGCCATGGGGCAATGTATAAAAATCCCCGCTCCCACTCAATTTTTAATCATTCATAATTAGGGTTTTCATTATATTCATTTACATAATATAATGCATGCAAAACGTCTTGATTTTAATCCAATTAAATTTAGAAAATATTTGGACTTTAAACGATTCACTAATATTTAATTTGAAGCACACTTTAAAAATAATTTTTCTGTTTCCCAATAAATGCCCTCAAATTAATTAGCAATCTAATCCAATTTATCTTCATAATTTAATTAATATAAATCAAACCATTTAATTAAAAATCATGGATCCAATGCATGAACAATTATAACAACTATTAAATTATTACATGCATCAAATAATAGACAGAAGCAATATAAATGGCCAATGGATTCAGCTTTTAACATTTAAAAACTATTCTTGCTGTACGGGCATCCTTCAACTGTCTGTAAACACCCATAGGAAGCTTGTACGCGTCAGGAGAAGCAAAACGCCGCTTGAAACGAGCCCGGAGGACCCCACACGCGCTGGCACGCGCCTAGGGCAAGCTGCACGTGCTCCCACGCGCCGGCACGCGCCTGGGGCGCGTGGAATGCACACTCACGTGCTGCCACGCGCCTGGGGCGCGTGGGACGCGCCTCCACGCGCGTGGAGGTCAAGCTACCTTGGCTGGCCCGTGCAATGCACGCGCCAGCATGTGCACTCTCCTGGCGCGTGTGGAACACGCGCCAGGCTCACCATCTTGATTCCACACCTGATCCGGGCCACCTCCGACGCCCCTTCTCGCCGCCGGCGAAGTTCCGGCCACCGGAAAAACGCCGAAAAAATTCCAAAAAATCCCATAAAATTAAATTTAGCCTCAAAAAATTCTCGAAAAATTCAGAAAAATTCCAGAAAATTACTGAAGCATAATTTAACCCTTTCGGACCCTCTTGAAGCTTCATAGCATCCTTTGATGAATATTACATGGCTTTAATAAATACTTACAATTTGAAATACAATGGAAAAAATTAAATTACATCATTGAATTTTCAAACGGCTAAAATAAAGCCTTAATTACATTTATCCAAAAATAAAATTACATTCTATATACCTATAAGCTTCATCCATGACCCAAACACACATCATCATCCATTCACAATTATACATACATCAACATGTATTAATATATATCAACATAATAAATCATACATCAACATATATCAATAATTTTATATATATATATATAATTTGGATCCATGAAAATGATTTTTATAAACACATGTTCTCTAGTAATGAATCAAACCATGTGCTCTGATACCACTGTTGGGAAACGTGCAAGTTTTAAAAACTTTTCGAGGGATTTTGATTCATAGATCTTGATTCATCACATAGAGACAAGTTTTATACAAAAATAAAAATATGATGTATCATTCAATTAATGGATTGAATACTTACATCAAAGGTCTGAGTAAACCTTTAAAACTTTCCTCTAAAGTGAATGTTCTCACTTATTGTAGATCCCTTAACAAGATGCCTTCTCCTTGGATCTCCATCTTCTTGGTAATTATTTTGCCTTTAGGAATCACTCATAAGCCTCCATGAATTACCTTGGAAAACTATGCTTGTGGGAGCCTCTATTAGATGAGACCATAAACCTTAATTTTCTAGAGAGAGAAAATTTATTCATTTTTCCTTCTCATAAAAATCACCCCCTAAAATATACATAGACCATGTATATTTATAGGCAACATAAAAATAAAGAAAAGGAAACAACAAATCCTTCTCCATCTCTAATTCATATGTCTCAAATCTAATATGATTCCAATATCAAGTTGGGCTATGAGTGAGAATCCATTGGGCCTATTATTTTATTGGCTACAATGAATTAATAATTGGCCCGGTCCATGGACCCAATTCAATTAATTCATAAATTAATTTCTACTCCACTAAAAGAAATTAATTGAACTCCAATTAAATAATAAATAACCTCTAAGTCAATATTGCACTTTGACCCCTCTATGCATAATTAGTTATCGGATAAATATAGCCATCAATCCGACTACTTAATTAATATATTTATTTTGATACCTTTGATTATTTCTGGCTCGATCACAATAAAACATTTGTTTGACAAAAATAATAATTTAAATAAATAAATATATAATAAATCATTTTGTCTAAAAACACACGAAGGCCTTCGAATTTACTTTGTGATCAACCATAATCAATACAAAATAAATACAAGTAGCAATGATGCAAATATTGAAAATATAACCCTCTAACTATTAATTACATAACTACCCAAAGTGTCGGTCTAAGGATCCCGAAGAATCCGCCGAACAAATCAAAGTAATTATTAATTAATAAAAGAGTCTATACTTTTCTCATGCTTAAGAGTCAAATGCCATGACGGTGATAGGGAGTAATTGCATACGACGGCTCTCGCAATATATGTTAACCTAACGCGGATCCAGTTCAAGTCTTAATTAATTATGAGTCCATCCATAATTACCGACTATGAACAATTTATAATTACTATTTATATATCATGCATTGATTGTCATCACATACATATATATAAATATTTCTTGTAATTAAATGGACACTATCAATTTCATAGTGAATCGAAACATAATACATTAAATTCACCAATTATATAAATCATAAATATTTCAGATATGTCAGGAACATATGTCACTACAATTCAGATAGGAATTTGCTATGTCAGGGCATATAAATCCCAACAATAGTGACGAGGAGGACAAAAACTAACCTTCTCCGAAAGTGATAACCTTGACACTTCCAGGCCCTCCATCTCCTTCAATGACTTCGACACTCTTGATAGCCTGTGGCAAGATTTTGGGGATGAGGTTGTCCGCATCAAGAACAAAGGCCTTGAACATCTTGGCGGGAGGGATTGAGGAGGTGATCTCAATTTCATAACTGATGACACCCATGATGTATTGAGAGTACGAAAATGATCAGAGGAATAATAAGAATGAATGATTTGCTCTGAGAGATGTTTTGTTGAGAGGGAAATGTGAGAGCTAGAGGTGGCTTATATAGAGTGAGGTTCAGGATTTCCTTTGTGTACAGAAGTGTCCACTTGGTTACAAATTGGTGTGCTCGCCATCTTCGGTTTTGTCTAAAACTATATTAATTCAGTGGAATATATGCACAAGTAAATAACAAAACCATGCCAATTAAGATGTCCTTATTGTTGACAAAGATTCAGGAATAAGACAAATGAAGTGAAACAAATTCTAGGTCGCCCATGACTTAGTACATTGTTTACGTTGTCTGGGGCTGTAGTTGTCAGCACTTATATATACATATATCTCTTAATTATGTTTACACGTCTTAAAAATTTTAAGTACAGAATGTGCAAAGCGAAAGGTACCAACACACAAGTGTGTTGAATTTTAAAAAGAAGTGATCATAACGTCTCACATATAGACGAGAGTGTGCAAAGCGAATACGACAATAATTACGACGTGACACTTCCTGGCTGATTAATTCAAGAAACACAGTGACTAAACATGCCTGGCCAGGTTAAAGACTATGGCATTTGATACTCTATGAGGTAAATCAAATTCAGTCACCCCATCTATAGAATTAGAGGCAGCGATAGCTGCCCAAGATGGTTGACCATGAGTAAATATTTATAATGGTTTTATAACCAAAGATGGAGCCCTTAAAACAAAATAGTTAGCCGATGAAATACATATAAAAAATATGAATTTTAAAATCACATCCACGTATGTAAGTAAAGACTTTTTGAGACATCAATATTGACCACCGACTAGTGAGTTGTATTGGCTTCTTTTGGAACTAGAGATCCATTTGGGATCAAACCTCTTATCCCGTGTTTGGTTGCCAAGGAAATCGAGCGAAGAAATGGAGAGGAAAGAATGGGAAGAAAAATTCAAGATTGTGCTGCAACGATGTTATACACATTTTGGCGTGTTCTTGAAGAATTAACACCCTGATAATTTCGATTGGCATATATTAAGGATTGTCAAGCAGAATCATTCTTAAAAAAATTATGCAGCCAATAACCATCTCCGAAATTAGGAGCGGAACAAATTCGAATTCTATAATAAGATTTGTATAAAACATGGACGATATTGATTATGGATTTTGATTATAATCAATTTTAATATGTAAATGTCTGTGTTTCTTCAGCAATCTTTGTTTATTTGACATTTTTTTATACTCCTTGGTAAAGGGTCAATTGCGTAAATTGCAATGAATACAACGTGCATACTGAATATGCTTGATTCAATTAGAATATCCAATACAGCAACTTCAATCAATCATTTATCAAAAAAAGCTCTGAGCAATTTATCTTTTAGATGGGCTAATTTTCCAATGTGCTTAACAACCTTCATTAAGAATACATAATAATTCATACACCAATTTTAATAAATCATTTATCAATGTTCTTACCTACCTTCTTCGAATTTCATTTCACTCTTAATTTTGAGATTAAAATTGCTCGAAAGTCTGAATAAGTTTTTTAATAACCTAATTCAATTATAAAAATCTATAAAACATCTTGGATGCAAATGTCACTTTCATAAAATTTGGTAATATATTTTTTTTTTTTCTACTTAAAATATATCTACAATAAGAATTATATAATTACATTATTATGGGATCATATTTGTATTCTTTTAACTCTATATGAGCCTAATGTCTTATTCATGATACCAAGTTCGAAAAGGATAAGATTGCGCTAGATAAGTTTCAACCACCAAAAAATATGTCCATACCCACGTGGACTTCAATACCGAGAATAGTTTTGAGGATATGATATGCATTTGGATCATGATGATATCATCCATTATAAGTTTTTTTTTGGTGGCAACAACTGCAACAAAAAAACAGAAACTAGAACTTAGGGGTGCAACTTGGGCCAATTGAGGGGTTAAAAAAATAAAATTAAAGTATATAGTTATAAGTTTATCAAAATATATTAAGATCAGGACTTCAAAATGAATAGTATAAAGTAGGGTTATTCTCTCATGTATTGGAGATTGTAAAGGGTTCAACTCTTCTTAGAATCATTCCTTCTGAGAAATGTAACATCGTGATTTAGTCATTTACAATATATAAAAAAATAAATAAACATATCAATCAAGTTTTGTTACCAATTAATACATTTTTCTTATCAAATACAAACAAGATTGAGTCTTGTTTAACATTTGGAGTCACACAAAATACTGATTGGAAGTTATTATCATTACTCCTATTGGTTGAAGTCAGAGCCGTTAGTATAATCTTAATTGGACAATACTTACATACTAATTGGTGTTGTCTATTCACTAATAACTAGTCACTCGGCACCAAAATATATGTCTTATAAGTTGAATCTGACTTTTTATAATATTGATAAGAGTTAAGTTTCAAATATGCTCTTACTAAAAGACAAAATAATATTTCGTAATTAGTGCAGTTATTTAGTTAAAAGGATAATTTATGAATGTCATAAAAAATAGTACATACAATTTTGAAATGGGATATGTTTTTTTGGGACATTCCAAAATAAAAAAAATGAACAAGTATTTTGGGACAAGGAGAGTATTCACTAATAAGTAGGTCATCAGTGATTTAATTTAATCACAAATACACAAATTATATATAATTACAAAATCAAAAAAGTAATAGATAAGGACAAAAACGTGTTTTTTGTCACCGTCTCTTATTTCCTTATTTATCACTTAAAATTGAAAGAGTCCCTTATTTATCACTTAAAATTTAAAGAGTTGAATTTTGAGTATTGAAAATTTGACTGATACTTAAAAAATAAGTATTTTTTTGATATTTTTTAAATTTTTATTATTCAATATTCAGTGATAAGTGATGTCCATGTCACTTAAAATTTTATCCTATTTTAAGTGGTGCTTATCGTTTTTGGTGATACTCAAATTGAGTTATCAAAAGCAATTAACTTCAGTAGTACTCAAATGCCGTTATTAAATACACTTAATTGAATAAATATTTAATTTATTCAAAATTAATCAATTAAGCGCTGAATTAAATAATCAAACCGTACTTATGTGTGTAATTATAATTGACACGGCAATGGTGAGTAGGAATCACCTGCTCAGTGGATTGGTAAGTTTTGTCCATCTCAATTAAGCCCAAGGTGGCACTCCTAAATTCCTAATTGCATTTACTAGTCATTTTGAAATATTAGAGGGCAAATCTGGTAATTGAAACCTGTATAGCGTGTGGAGTGCAAATTGTCTGGAATAGGGTACATGACACTAATTGTGAGCCCTCTTTTCTGTCATCACATCAGGTTTACTTCCCCTTTCTCGACTCTTCTTCGCTTCGTCTCGCACAAGAAAACAACCCACAAAAAACAGCTCTGTCACACACTTTCTCTCTCATCACCCTTCCACCTCAAACACAGAAACAACACTTCAATTGCACATAAACCTTCAGGAAAAAAAAAACCAATCTTTAATCAATTTCAACCTTTACATACATAGATACATATAGATATATACATATATTTACACACGCACATATACATAACCCAACATACCCTTTGAATTCTTCGCCGTCTCTGCAATGTCTGCTGCCGGAGGGCCTCGTCATCGCGGCGGAGAGGACCGGTTCTACAGCCCACCGGCGATGCGGAAACGCCAACAACAGTCGCAGTCGCAGTTGCAGAAGTCATCGAAGCCGAAGTCCAAGTCTTCTCTGGAGTCCGAGAAGAGAATTGAGTCGGACGATTGCGCATCGTCGACGGCGACAACTCCGTCGGTTTCTTCTTCATTTTCGTCGCCAAGGACAAGCAATTTGACTAATTTCGATCGATTTTTGGAGCACACTACTCCGATGGTTCAAGCGCAGTATGTTTCCAAGGTATTGCAAAGTAAATTTAAAATTAGGGTTTCTTTTTCTTCGCTTTCTTTTTGCCTTGTCAATTGGCTGCTGAGAAATTCGGATAAGAGTAAAAAGGTGGACTTTTTATGTTTTAGTTCTCAATTTTAATGGTAAAAAAGGGGAACTGAATTGACTAGTAGAATTAGGTTCAGTTGAGTGGAGGGGTTTTGTTTAATTCATCTCACTACATTTTCTCCTCAATTAACTGGCTTATTTAGGGAAATGTTTTTAGGTTTTTGTTGGCTATGTGTACTTGGGAAAAGAAAATGAAATCAAATCCTGAATATCATGTTATATCTTTAAATTTCATTTCCAAATGGGAAGAAATTTAAAACTGAGCCAAGTAGTTGTATTAGTTAAGTTGAGCAGATGGGTTTGTATTCCGGGGTCTCCCTGGAAAGGTGATTTTTTGCTTTGTTGATTTTTGGCTATGTGTTTTTTTTTTATTTTTTATTGACTGTGTGTTTGATATGCTGAAAGACTTTTCAAAAATATGTTTGGTTGCTGACAGATTGGGGAAAGAAAAAAACATTGAATTTTGAGCATTTTATGATTGATCTTATTCTGGTTTCCAGATAATATAAAACATACTCAACTAAACTGATTCGATTTGTCATATTAAGCTCGCATGAGCCGGGGTTTCCTTTCCTTGGATCTCAATATTGTGAACTCTTGAGATTTAAAACTTTGATTTACTCCTATATTCCACATTTCTCAGCAATCATAAATTGTTTATTGAAATTTAAGGCTTTTTTTACTATGAATTTTTTATTTTGTTCTATTTTTATACATATATATGTGTGTGTGAATTTGATTTGGTAGCATTTGGGATATGTAGACTAGTATGAGGGGATGGAGAACTCATGAGGACGAATTTCATCCTTACTTCATCCTTGGGGATCTATGGGACTCTTTTAAAGAGTGGAGCGCTTATGGAGCTGGAGTTCCTCTTGTGTTGAATGGGAGTGACTCCGTTGTGCAATACTACGTGCCTTACGTGTCAGGCATTCAGCTGTATATAGATCCATCAAAGCCCTCCGTGAGGCTAAGGTTAGTTATATTTTTGTATTTTGACTCTCTCTCTCTCTCTCTCTCTCTCTATATATATATATATATGCATGTGTGTGTTGTGATTCTTCATGTCATTATGTAATTTGTTTCAATTGGTTGGTTTTAAATCGAGTGGCCAAAATGATATAATCATTATATTTGGTCAAGTGGCATACTGAATTGAGATTAATTGACTAGACTTTGCTAGGTTATGTTTGTTGTTATGTCAGTTATGTGCAATGGCTTGCTCAGTAGTGTTGGCTCATGAAAGTATGCCTGAAGGTTTCTATGCGTTTATCAGAAAAAGAAAGTACGGAGTAAAAGACAATGATAGAAGTATAAAATATAATAATTTCTCAATAGGTAATGGTAAAATTTAAAATAATATGTTTCATGGGCTAATGAGACAAACAATCAGGATCGTGAAAACACCGGAATTGTGACCAAGTCCAGTTTTCTAAGCTTATAAGGAGCCCGAGTCAAGTTCGTATTGAGCCAACAAATGAACAAGCTGAGCCTAAACAGTCTAATATGTTTCATGGGCTAATGAGACAAACAATCAGGATCGTGAAAACACCGGAATTGTGACCAAGTCCAGTTTTCTAAGCTTATAAGGAGCCCGAGTCAAGTTCGTATTGAGCCAACAAATGAACAAGCTGAGCCTAAACAGTCTCTAGTTTGGCCCTGCCTGATTTATATGCAGCCTCACCTGTATCCTCAGTTATGTAACTGTTGTTGGTGAAATTTGAAAGACGAGGTCACTACATAAAATGGCGGGATGTGATAATGTCTTGGCTTGGGGAGGGTTATGCACATACATAGAGGACAGCTGAAGGAGAAGCTAAGGTCATGGAGAGATCAATAGAGCATCCTGGAGATTCAACCTTATATAATGCCAGATGAGGTTTCTTATAGGAGCTTTAGTTTTGTTGTGAGATGACTACTTCTGAGTGTAGACAGGCGTGTTTCGTGCAGCTGCCTCTGTCTTGAAAGTGTGCCAGTGCACTCAAGTCAACAAAGCCTTGCTAGTTATGGTGGGGGATTATTTTTCATAAAGGTTTTATGGAAGTGAATTATCAAGACTGGGCTCATCAAATATTGGATCAATCCAAATGTGCTTCTAGTGCTTGTTTCATTTCTGGACGTGGCCAAAGCCATTATTTGCTCCAGGACCAATTAAATGTGCGTTTGAGCTTAGATTCATTCAGAGAGGCTTAATCAATATCCAGTTAAGTAACATTCTGAAGGAGTCAAATTTTATTCTGGAAAATATTCTATTATGATATTTTTTTTGTCAGTCAAAGTTAGTGTAGTGAAGTGGTAAAGTACAGATATGTCAAGAGATGGCTATTGACTAAAGAAATGAAGATAATAAGAGAAATGACTTTGTATGGTGAATATATCTATTAGATGTTAATAATGACTATAGTTGATAAAATTAATAGCAAAAACCAACCAAGATAGTTTAGTTATCTGCAATATTAATAGTACCAATGGGGAATTTTGATAGAATCCACACTGATGGTAGGAGCTGGTAGAGGTTGGGTGTTTGTGTTGCCTTAGTGCTTTGATATGTCCTCTAAGCAAGTTTTGGTAACAAACTAGGCCTAAAGAGTCTAGACCAGCTAAGATTTTTACTGACGATCAATTTAGTGTTAAGCTTGATTGAAACTCTGGCCTATAAGTCCCTGTTCAGGTTGGCCCATTGGCAATGGTTTTCCTTTTACTTAATGTTATTTGTTTTAACATAATTTATACAGAGTTTAACTCTTTAAATTTGATATATATATCAGTTACCTCTGCAAGATTTCAGGCTTAGGCTGATTGGGCTAAGTATGGGATTGGGGATGCAATTCAGAAGGGGTGGGTGGTTAGCCCACACTTATCTCAGATATATGAATTCAACACTAGCCCATTCAATTTTACTATCAACCTGAGCTCCCCAAACCCACATTCAAATCTTTAAGCTAAGGCTAAAAGAAAGTTCAGGTAAAAACCAGATTGGGTTTGTTGATAGCAATTCAAGGATTCTTCAGCCTCAAAACTGTAAAGTACTCTTGAAAATTATAATTTTAGCAGTAAAGAAAGTTTTCTTAAATTTTCATAATCTATAATTTTTTTTTTTGTAATTCCTTCTAAGAATTCATTTACTAAAGCAAGTAAATGAATCCCACAAATCATGATCCTGTTATGCATCACAAGTTTAACTACCACTCATGGAATAATCTTATAAGGAATGGTCTGGTTAGGTTTAGATTGATTGCTTGGGTTGGGTTTGGAGTGTTGACACCTCAGCTCAAGCCTAACTGAATTTAGTTGAGTTGGATTTCTGACCTAAGATAAATAGGAATTTTTTAAAAATTATTGTCCGGGCCCATGAAAATTAGGTTTGGTTCATGTCAGTCTACCCAAGTTCCACAACTATATTGGACAATTACTTTGAGCTCATGCTCAATCAAGGGCAAAGCTTAGTGAGTGTGATAACCACGCATAGTTTCGGTCTGGTCTTGCCAGTGCCATCCCTAATTAATGGGAACACTAGGGAGAGGGGTGGGGATCAGAATTGCAGTGGGGATAGTATGGAAAGCCATAATATTGAAGTTAAAACCTTTTGGATGATGGAAGCAATCTAAATCGTTTAAAAGGCTTTATTTTGTTGGTTAACTTGTGTTTCTAGCCATAACAATATGGTATATCAAGTCTTTATGTTTCAAGTCAAGTTATGAGGTTTACTCAGATAAATTTTAGTTGTACCTAATTTTTGGGGCTCTGCGATCATGTTTATCAAGTTCATACGTTAATTCCTTTTTTGGGTCCATTATGCTATTTTGAATGGTTAACAGAATTTGTGAACCAACCCCCCAACGAACAATCATGATGTAGGAAAGATTAGGCAGTTCTTATTGCATTTTTATTATTTTAATTTTAGTGTAGTTACGCTCTTCGTGAAAGTTTTCTAACTTCATTAATTCCTCTACTTCATATGAAAAGGAATTTGTAGAATTATAAACAGCCTGTTGAGTTTATTTATCTTTTCTTGTGTTCCTTGGTGCCATGGCTTCTGAGTGTAGTTCGATCTTTGGCTATAGCTGTTAGCAGAAGGTAATGTTTTTTATACCTTTTGAAAATTAAAGCTCACAGACCTATTAGAAACTTGTTTTGGTAACCATAATAAAATTCTTCTTTCTTTTCCAAAGTTGTATAGACTTGTAAAAACATGTGTGAGGTACAACTAAAAATCATACCTTTGATTGCCTTTTTCTTGATGAAATTGTGTTTTGTTAGCACAAGATGCCTTTGCAAGTACTATTTCCTATTTGACAGAATGATAAAGGAAAATTATTATGGATAGGTTCGTCTCAGATTGTGGCCTGCTTGTTTTCCATAACCCTCCTTAAGTTTATTATTACCATATAAACTCATTAAGTTGATGTTTTCTTGATCCATCTTGTGATAGGCGGCCTGGTGAGGACAGCGATGCTGAGTCATCAAGGGAGACAAGTAGTGATGGCAGTTATGAATGTGGAGCAGAAAGAAGAGTAAATGATGTTCAGGGAGCTTGGACCCAGCAGAACCATATAAGTGCAACTACCCAAAGTTTTAACAGACTCTCAGTAAGGAACAATCCCTCCATGTGTTCGTCAGTTGATGAAGACCAGATTAGCAACCCTCCTGGTCTACTTGTTTTTGAATACTTGGAACAGGATCCACCATATAGTCGTGAACCTCTGGCGGATAAGGCAAGCCCTTGTTTTCCTAGGAGCATTAGTTTGTGTTAGTTTCCATTGCTTCCCCATCATTTTATAACATAAATATATCACCTGTATCCACAGATAGCAGTCCTTTCATCTAAATTTCCAGAACTCAGAACATATAAAAGCTGTGACCTTACGCCTGCAAGTTGGATCTCTGTGGCTTGGTATGCTTTTATTTTTTCTCATCTGATCACAAGATGTTCCTAACTTTTTTTTTTAATTTTAATTCTTACAATATACATATAACATATATCACCTTGCATTAGTTTTTATTTATTTATTACTATTTACTATGCTGCATTTGTAGAGATATAATTATCATACTGAAGTTATTTACTCTCTTGATAAAGGTATCCGATATATAGGATACCCACAGGTCCAACTCTACAGAATCTAGATGCCTGCTTTTTAACATTTCATTCTCTTTCAACGCCGTTCAGAAGTATGTCTCTCTCTCTCTCTTTCTCTGCGCATGCACGTGCGACTATGATTTGTTTACATTCCCATGCCTTTTTATGTAAATCATCACATGGTTCTAATGCTCCCACAGGTACAAGCACTGATTGGCCACATGTTCACAATTCAACTGTTAGGGAGCTTCACAGTGCTGGTGTGTCCTCCAAACTGTCATTGCCCATCTTTGGACTTGCTTCCTATAAGTTCAAAGTTTCTGTTTGGAATCCAAATGGGGTTTATGAAGGTCAAAAAGTCACTTCTCTATTGCGAGCTGCTGATAATTGGCTCCGGCTTTTGCAAGTTAATCACCCAGATTACAGGTTCTTTGTGTCCCACGGCCAACTCTGGAGATGATATGAAATAACTTCCTTTAAGCATAGCTCTCTTCTCCAAAAAATGCAAGGCAGAGACTAGCACCCCGTGAGTTCAAGCTAGGATGACCTTGTAGATTGCTGGTTGGATATGCAGCAGGATTTGTTCAGCCTTTTCTTCCATAAAAATATTTTTGAATATTCGTTAAAGTCTGATTAAAATGTCATTGCTAATGCGGTGTTTGTGAGAAGATACAATGGTGACATTGTGGTAATTGTTAATTGGCACTTTTGTAACGATGATGTGTTTGTGATCTAGTCTGGATGTAAATGCATGGACGTGAATAATGCATACATAACCTGATGATAATTACCATGCTAATGGTAGTTATGTTGCGGTTTGGACAGAAAGTGTTTATCCAATGTTTTTATGGCCGTAAAACATCGTTTGATGTAATTGTGGATTATGCCATTATATAATGACAAAAAAGTGGATTTTATGTCTGCTATCTATATGTTTTAGTGTGGTAGATGTTTTTGTGGCAACAGGTCTCCTAGTATGTATAGCTTGTTCTGCTTTTAATGGGTGTAGATATCATGGGAGTTTCAACTCTTATTATGTTCACTGCCTGTTAGCACCAATTACAACCTTTATAGGTTGCCTTCTTGATTTCATTGTTGTTCTTTCCATGATTTCTTTCAGTGTAAATTATAAATATGGATCAATGGAAAGAGGATTCGAGCAGGTGTAAGAACATTTCAGAAGCTGGACTCAATGCCCTTGTATGTATTAGAAGATAAAAATTAAAATCCACAAGCAATGGTTTCACATATCATAAGTCGGTGCTTTGCTTCCCCTTGAAATAGATTTATTCTTTTCTTTTTTTTTTTTGGTGGTAAACAATAATGTTAGCTCCTACCTAGTATCTACTGTCCCTACGAAAAATTGACACCAGAGAACAAGCTGATAATTCTCAAGCTAAGAATTTCATAAAATAGCAATAATTTCTCTTTCATGGTATAAAGATTCTTGCCCATTCTCAGGATCCCTGTTGGTACCGAGATAAATGTGCAAATTATTTTTTTCAAATCTTAAATAATAATAATAATAACTGAAAAAGCGCATATGCTCTGTTCTGGAAAAAGTAAAGAGCAAACCAACTTGCTTTAGCTCTTCCATCTCATTATACACACAAGTTCTACATGCAGAAAGGACATAGATAAATTATTTCGACCTATTACTGGAAAATGCATCCTCATTTCCCCTCTTAAAGCTATACTCGCAGCACTAAATTATATATTCACTACATATATTCCTCAAACTCATAATTTGTCATCTAGAAATGCAGAAAGCATCAACTCTTGGACAAATTCACACTTCCGAACCTTCTCTTCTTGCTCCTTGTCTGATAGCGGGGACTTTTGGATATTTCTGTCACCATAGAGTGCCATCAGATGTTAATCAATAAGTAAATCATTTGTTATTCTAAAAAGTAATAGAAGCATGCACTGCTAGTGGTAGCAAACAAAAACAATTAAGAAAAACTGATGCAACTTGATCTACTTGAAGAAATAAAATTGCACCCAATAATGGAGAACCAGTGCTCAGTACCTTTCTGTGAGATCCGCAACAGAATTTTCCTTTACTGAGCTTGCTTCAACTGAAGAATGATAAACTCTAGCAGGTTCACCAACCTCAGGCAGATTGGATATAAACGATGATAACAACAGATCAGGTTCTGCATTGGAGGAAGAAACAAAGCATGAAGAACCCCCAAAAAGGGATTGTCGAGTTCCTTCCCGCAGCTCTTTTCTCAATATAGAAAATGCTGAATTCAATCCACCCTTGCGCAATCTCCTCTTGCGCTGCACGTAATCTCTAGTCAAGGAATACTACAAATCTCATGGAAACCACTAAAAAAATCAGAAGAAAATTAATATGAACACGTGGAGATCCTTGTAGAAAGTGAATAAGCAGGATAAATCTAATAGAAAAACGGATTTTCCATGGAAATCAGCACAAGATTAAATTCTTGTACAAAATTGAACCCAGAATATGATTCTGCCAACCAGTTGCAACAAAATAGCTAGTCAAAAAGAATACAAGACAATGTAGTCAGAGAACAAGGTTGACAAACATTTCTTGCCTGGTGAGCAGACACATTATTAGATTCTTCTATGAACCTAAATTTAAAACGCAAATTATGGTACTAATATGTGTCACTCAAAAGATATCATCAAACTATCGTCTAGATGGATCAACCAAGCACAAGTCTAAAATAGAACAGTTTCAAGACATCTATGAGTCCTAATCTCACTTCGAACAAAAGAACATGTTCTAATTAGTAGCTCTAGTGGAAGGATAAAATCTTACATTCTCTATCCACATGGCTTTCTTTTGGGACCAAATACAAAATAAATACGTTTTGATTACCAACGGGCCAATGGCCTAGCGGTATCGGCTTCTTACTTCCCAAAGGGAGGTCAGGGGTTCAAGTCTCAAAAGAGACAAGTGTGTGTGAGTACCAACTAGGAAAAAATATATATATATATATGTTTTGATTATGTACAGATGTACACCAACCAAAATAAGCCCAAAGACATCATCTGTTGTCAACAAAAAACTGACCTAATTAAATGTAAGATTACAAGTAGACAATATATAGATGTCAATCCCATGTTATGAAAACCATCACCACAGACACAAGCATTCCCGTAAACCATAACCAGAACACATTGAGAAAGCTGATAACAACTTCTATCAAATCGAGTAAAAAGGATATTTTTAAAAGACTTCCATGTTGCATGGTAATATGGCCAACCAGATCCATCCCCACTCTCTTTGCACAAACAGGGCAAACCTGCATATATAACAGTAAAACCTCAGTGAGTCCAACCTGCAACTGATGCAACTCAAAAGGCATAAATCACTTCCCAATAGTCAGCAATAACACTGGAGAGTTGTAGTTTATCGGACCAAACCTCTAAGCCAATTATAAATCACTAATGTTAAGATATTGTCATATGACAATAAGTGGACCACCCAACATTTGGTTTAGACCATTCGAAATTCACAATAAATCTTAACTAGGACAGGTTGCATCTCTCTCTCTACATACACACACATATCCAAGATTACCAATAATGAATCTTTTTGCAGCTTCTATTAGGTACCCAACTAAGTCATTACCCAAATCTTTTAGGTAGAAGGACAGAATTCATAGTTTTCCCCAACCTTCCATACATGTTCAAACTTCTAAAGACCCAAGGGCACTGTGATTGAAAAGGGTAAATATAAAGTACAGAAATTTTCACCACTGGGCCACTAGCCCAGATGAAATGATCTCTCCTTTCCAAAGGCGAGGTAGACAGTTCGAACCCCGATAGGGGCAATGTTGTGGGTATCTGTGCGTTTGCTAATACAAAATTTTCTTCGGAACCATTAGGAACTTACATGGATCCATAGTAATAATACTCTCAAAACTGGTAACTTCAAATATTATTTCTTTTCCTTTTTTCTACAAAGAATACAGTTGTAGCTGCTATTTTGCACTATTTGCCAACAATTAATATACTTTTGCATGTTAGTAGTCATATAGACTCATCTTTGTATAAGAGCATGCGTATATGATTGAATAGATATGGTATAGTTCATATCCCAAGGTTCCCACCAAAAAGAAAACCCAAAAGAAAACCCGAATGATGGATTTCAGTGAACTGTTAATTATAGAGTAATGCTTTAAATAACACTGATGATCTAGCTCTCTTTGTATAAATTAAATTCTTTTTTTCTTAAATGTCTAAATATGAACCACTGGGTTCTTATCCTTTTGACTTCATATTAGGTTTTCAATACACATGTACTTTCAAAACAATAAATGCGGAGAAACCTTTCACTGATGCAAACATAAAATAAAACAAAAGACAAGATAATTAATACCAATAAACAGAAATAATTGTTGGAGATAAGTAAATGCAACAACAACAACACAACAAAAGAAAACTGATTACAGCAGTTCATTAATCTTAAAAGTAACACCCTCCAATATTTATGCAATAGCATTTTCCAAAAAATGCTTATTTTGCTTTTAGGAGCAAAACTTCAAACTCTTTCTCTCAAGTCTCACATTGATGTGAACATATTAAATGTATGCATGTGCGGGACTGAAATAAAAACAAAAAGTAAAAAATAATAATAATAATTGTACACTACACCAGTGCAGTTAGTTTTTTTTTTTTTTTTTTTTTTTTTTTTTTTCTGTTCTGGGTATTTCATAAAGTTCAATCTGACTGACTTGACCTAAATTAGGTAACAAACTGAATTTCATGCATTTAACCACGACTAACACAATAATTTTTATAAAAAATAAAAATAAAAATGGAAAAAGAAAAAGACAGAAATATAAGTCTTAATGGAAGTATGAATAACATATATATTACCCCATTTTTGGTTTCGATCGCATGCTCTTCATCTATATGACAGCAAAGTCCAACAATGTCATATTCCTCACCACAGAAGGGGCAAAAAAACTCCGGCCTGTACTCCTCATCACCATCAATCTCTTCACCTCCGTAATACAGATCTGCATAACAAACCCAAAAATCCAGGGAAGAAAAAAAAAAATGAAAGCTTGAAATTTTATTACAGGCAAGCTTTGAAATGTGCAGTTATAAGATTCCGAATTTTCATTTCTCACGGTTTCTCAGAAAACAAACAGAGCAAAGTGTCATCCAACTGACCTGATCGAGATTGATAGCGCTTAGAAGCAGAAGATAAACGAGTGGTCCAGGAATCGGAATCCATTTGGTATTGAGGTTGAGAGAGGTCGAAAATTTATTGAATACCCACAACAAGATTTGATTAGGTTAGAGCGATTTCATCAGAGTTGAAGCTGTTATATATATGCCCTAAAGAGATGGAAGAAGAAAAAGGTATGTCGAAAGTTCAGAGAAATGAAGGTAGAGAGAGAGTACGACTCTCTACCGACCTTACATCGTACGGGTTGGGACTTTATGAAACATAGATTTGTACTAATGCCCATTAACTTCCAATTAATTGCGCAGTTGCACCTAACCAGTCAAATTTATATTTTTATATCAATGAGTTGCCAACACAGCGCAAAGCTCTCGTAGCTCAGTTGGTTAGAGCACCCGTTTAGTAAGCGGGAGGTCTTGAGTTCGACTCTCAACGAGAGCAGGTTTACTTTTTGCCAATAAGCTAGCTACATCCAGCTCAACTGAAATTAATATAGTTTATTTTTGGTAATTAGAAATTAATACAATTCATGCGCTATACCAAAATACCATCTCTTTCTATTGTTAAACAGATCTGAAGCCTATATTAAATTAATCTTGAGATCGAAATGGAAAACTAAATCTTCAACGATTATAAGTAATTGGTCTGCTCAGATCAGAATCAAATACATTGTAATCTAATAGTACTTTCTTACCTTACAAATTAAAAAATCGAAATCCCCAAAATGACAAAGTGAGTGTGTAAGATGTGTGTGTTTTTATTAATGGAAGAAGAAGAAAAAAAAAAAAAAAAAAAAGGACTCACGTCAGAGAGTGTGTATGTTGGGCAAATCGGTTGTTCGATTGGTGTATTTGGGCCAGGACCAGCACACATGAAATGCTGTTATGCTAATGGTTTTGTAATCAATTTGGGCTGGGCCTATTGCACTTTGCGACAACTGACAACTTGCCAGTGTTGGGCTCATTATGACACTTTTGAGGCACTAAGTTGAAGCCCTTATTAGTTTGGTAACTCTTGAATGGTAAATTTATAATTACATTTGTTGCACAGGAGGACTTATTTGGTTTGGTGAAGCATGTTATGTCACAGTTGTTGTTTTCTTTCTTGATTTTGACTTGTTGAAAATATTGGTACAAGTTGACCACCATTGGAGTAAATTCTTAGTGGAGCACAACCAAACCCAATAAAACGACTGATTTTACCAAATTTGTACACTTTTTTATTTTCTGAATTTAAGACCAAATTTATTCCAATTGACATTCAACAATATGATTAAAACTTTGCATTCAACTAATGTTGCTTTTGAAAACATCAAATTGGGGTTTTAAATTTTCAATTGGAAAAATAATTAGTTAAAATTTTAAACTAATTTTTTTTTTTTTTAAACTTTAATTTTAAGGTGCCCGATTCATTACTCCCAAATATAGCATATACAAAATTTTCAGAATTTTCTCTTCCAATTTTTTTTTTTCCCTGATTATGATGTTCTAGTGCTTACTTGTTCATGTCTCATTACAACCATATTTTTCTTTTCTCAACAAATAATTTCGGCAATATTGTTGGAAAAATAAATATACACTACAACGACTATATATATTACGAAATACAAAAAAGTAAAGATTTTAAAGTTATTAGGTTGGAAATTCACTTGGTTTAGCTTGTGAGGTCCACTTTTTGTTTAAAAGTTGGCCTCACTATTTTTCTCTCAGAAGACAAGGACCATTTGTTTACCTCCGGTTTAAAAAAAGATGAGGTGTCACTAGATCACATCATTCTTATATTACAATCATCATGTTAGAGCAACAAGAATTGTAATTTTCTATTTTTTTTTTCTTCTTTTAACAGGTGCAAGGGTGTGTGTTCTGAAACTAGGGTTTCAGTAGGCAAAAAAAGAGAATTGAAGGATTTTTAATTTTATAAAGGTGTTTGTTATCGTCATTAATAGATGAAGAGAGAGGGAGTTAAATGCAAAACCATCTATCTTTTTTGGCTCTCTTTTTGTTTCTTTTCTTTTTTTAGGATTTTGTATTTATATTTGAGATGAAAAGAATACTGATTGCAATTTTGTATTTATAGTCCCTCCTAACCTTTTATTAATTTGAAGGATTGTTTTTGGTCCATAGCAATAAAAATAGCTAGCCCCATAAAAGGACCATCAAAAGAGTTTGGTTTTTTGTACACGAAAGTAATGCACCATTGGATCTCCTTTTCTGATCAACACTTCTGACTTTCCATTCAATAATTCTCACTATATATATATATATATATATATATATATATATGCAAAGTAATGGATGACTACAACTAGTAAGGTTGGCTGTCTGGTCAGGGAGCAAAAACTTCTACTGCCACGTGGTGACTATTTAATGAATATACATCCCATCTTACTATAATTGTTTACCTTCTTTTGTTCCCAAATGTGGTTCTAGCTATGCATTTATAAAAGCTACTCCACCTAACTAAGGAACAAACCCACCTCATATGATCACATGAAGAAGAGATTGTCTTGTGTCCAAACACTCATACACATATAATTGAGCAAGCCCCTTCATTTGTTCAATATCCACAAACCATTTGAATAATCCAATGGTCTACATCGCATCTTCACCCTAATTTGGATTAGAATAGATAAAAAGGACAACATGACCCTCTTTTTTTTTTTCTTTTTTCTTTTTTTTTTTGGTTGATTTCACGTGACTCTTGATCTTTTATCTGTCAAAATCATAGTATAACAAAATGAAACCATAAAAATATATAAATAACTTTCGGGGAAAAAACAATAATTTTTTTTTTGTAATTGTCATTACCTATTCTTGTCATCCAGTGCTATGGATGATGTGATAAAGTGACTGTTTTTAAATTTGAATTTCTTGTTAATAATTTTTTTAAAAATAATATGTTTAGTTCAATTATCGAAAAATAAAATTTCAAAACTATGAAATACTCCGTACATAATTTTGAGATTTTTTTTTAATTAAAGAGTGTTCCTTTAAGCTAGATATCTATAAATTCTACTCTCAAAATGAAAATATTATCATCTAAATACCTTTTTTTTTTTCTTTTTTTTTTTTTTGGTGGAAAGGTACTTTGTTAAATTCTTGCTACTATAGAACAAAAGACAAATTCTCATAACACATACAACGCACACTCTACTATAACTAAATTGATTTTTACATAATGATTAATAAGATAAAAGTTTATCTTTTTTAAAAATAATTAGTATAGCGATTACACTGCACATCAATCAATTATAAAAACTGAGTGAGATTTTTATAATTTGTCTATCAATTTTTTTAAAATATTCTCAATTTAAACTAGTTATATATACGTGATTGATGATATAAATTCTTATATAATACTATATAAGTCCTCCGGAATCAATTATTATATGATATATAAGCAAATGTAATAAAAAAAAATTATTTATGTGTCATCATGTGATTACACCAATAATTTGTAGATGAACTTTTGTTGTATGACTCATGAGTCATGATTATGAGTTTAAGGAGGAGGTTGTGAGTGATATACACCTGAGATTTGCCACCCAAGACAAGGTTCAATAATGTTGTGAATTCAACCTACTAAACACACACCAACTAAAACCTTTCTTTATCCATCACACACACAAAAAGGAGAAGTAGCCAACGCGCTCTTTCTCTCTCTCTCGACCTCTAATCAGACAGACAGGGATGCGTAGGAAAGGCAGATGTACGTAACAATTAGGGGCCCACAATTGAGAAGAGATTAGGCCGGGGTGTGGGCCCCAAAAGCCCTCCGCGTCAGGGTCCCAACCAAAACACCTCCGCGTCGGTCCACTTACTCCGTAACATATTGGCTTCTTGTTCTTTCCCACAGTTGGTGGACCCCCACACCCCGCAATAAGGACACCACCACGTGTCCGTCCCGTTTAAGGCTGGGAGAATTGAGATCGTCTAACACGTCACGTCCGTGTTGGCGTTGCAGTTGCTGATGTGGACTGTTCGAAAGTGGATTGTGGGTCCCACCTTTTTTTCTTTCCTCCCATTGTTGTTAGGCAGCGGCCGCTGTTTGTGGGATTGGCAAGTTTTAAGTCATAATTCATAAAGCCAACTCATCTATCAAAGTGGTAGGGCATTGCATTATGTGTGCAGTGAAATGAAAACAAAATTAATATATGCTGTTCATACTTAGACCAATTACTTTTCAAAAAGTTCAAAGTTCCTACACTTCACCATCGCATGCCACCCTCATCGTCCATCTCTAGTACCCCATCCGGTCGGGTACTCGCCCTATTTTATCCCATTTAGAATAATTATAAAGCACTTAAATGGTTTTGGAGTGAAGATGAGAATTTAAAATGAAAATTTGCATGGTTATAAAACTCGACGAGAAGATCGTCCTGTCCCATTCCGTTTATGAGCAGTTCTATAATCACGGGACTTGCGACATTAGTGAGCCTAATGAGAGAGAGGCTATCAGCACCATAATGTCGGGAAGTCGGCAAGAAAATAATTTTCCTTACATATATATTCATTGGATATACATGTATCTATCAAAAAAGGCGGGTGGGGAATGGTATGGCATGGTACTCATCATTCGAAGTGCATTTGGGCCTGAAATACAAAAGAGAGAAAAGTTGGGAAAAGTAGCACACGGACCTTTCTTTTTCCAACTTCCATGAGATGCCACGTGGCATAAACTCATAAGCCGAAATCCACCACCAAAAGGAATAGTTTAGTAAACGCGCGTGAAGTAACGCTCATATTCGTTTTCTCTTAAAAGCATCACTCCCTCCATAAAAAGCTAAACCCCTTGAATACACACACAAATAAACAAAACAAACAAATATTTAAATCATTCATTAAAAGTTGATAATGAAATAAAATAGATAATTAAATAAAAGGTTAAAACTCCTGATGTGGAAACCAAGATAACGTTACCGTAACGGTTTAGAGATGTTGCAGCTTTTTATTGGGGGGTGAGGTGACGTGGGTGGCTGGAGCTGTCACAGGGTTTTTGACACTTTATTTATTGGAAGAGAGAAAAGGTTCCACAAGAGAATATACTTTTGCTGCATGTTACTTTGCCAACCCCAGATCATTCTTCTTGTTGTTTAAAACCTTTTCTTAATTATATAATCATACTCACTTTCAAACTTTGAATACACACATACATACATTATATATATATATATATATATATAGACACACACACACACACACATAACATGAGGAGTGCTAGTGAGTAGTGGCAGTCGCACCTTTCA